GAGGGAGGGAGGGAGGGAGGGAGGGAGGGAGGGAGTTTTTATTATTTTTGTCTGATTGCCATCTTGTGCGTTGTATCACCTGATGTTTGTATTGTTTATGTTTTGATCATTTTGAATCGTTCTGTTTATCATTGTATCCCACTCTGAGGGTGTGTGTGAAAAAGCCAATAAAATAAATAACTAAAAATAGAACAGATCATAACACCTACCTAACTCCTGAGCATCCAAAAAAAAATTACCCTAAGGTCTCAGCTGCATGCTGCAATTTCTTCTGTGTCTAAACAGCTTTTTCCTTTTCTTTTGCAGATTTAGCCAACTCGAACAGAGAACCCAACAAGCAGCCTGGTACCAGCCTGGGCACCATTGGAGCCGGGGCTGGAGCTGGAGTTGCCATCCTCTTGCTGGTGGTGGCCGGTGTCATTATCTGGAAGCGCAGATCCAAAGGTAAGATTCTCTCCTGTGACCTGTATGAGCCATTTCCCCTGGAGAGATCGGAGGCATGCTGCACCTTTCTATTAAGAAGAGGTGCCGGGAAAGGTTAATGAGGGACTAGCAGTCATAATAGCTAAGTGGAGCCTCCCTGTTCAGTGCAGTATACTAGTTGCTGCTGTGTTCTACTTGCTGTGGGGGCAGCCCTTCACCCTGGAAGCACAGGGCTGTCTACAAATGTGATCCAGCAGGAGTCTCCTGGCATGCTTATGACAGGAGACTGGCTGTAACTATCTCTCTAAAATCCAGTTCCCAAAAATCAGCTGTGCATTATAGTGACCAAGAATCAGAACTAAAGGCTTTACGAAACAGGCTGACTTGGTGCTCAGCAACTGGAGTCACGGGAATAAAAAAGCAAACATTACCTCTGCCCCAAAGAGGTGCCTTTGGTTGTCTTCCATATAACAGAACAGTTGCCACTCACTCCTGTGCGGGAAAGTAAAGTGCTGCATTTGAGGACATAATTGTAGTGAGAGCAATGGATACTGGGCAACTTGTCATGCACTCAAAAGGAATTATGTTCCTTTCCCCCCCAAAAAAACCATTTTATCCACTATACAAGCCTGTCCTCCATTCCTACTCATCATGCTGGGTATTTGTTCTTAGATAACCCACAGCCTACACAACATTTCATGGTGGCTACACTCACCAAGATGGGAACTCTGTGGCAGGTGTCTAAATCCAGCAAAGGTGACAAAGGTACAATATAGAGCTAGGATGGATGCAAAGCCAGGTCCCCCCTGCCCTCCAGCAGGGGATGGGGAGGTTAGGGTTCAATTCAATTCAAAACCTTTATTGGCATGGAGAGGTTAGGGTTGCTGAATTCAGGATGGGAAACTCCTGGATATCTGGGGATGGAGCCTGGGGAGGAGAGGGACCTCAGTGGGGTACAGTGCCATAGAGTCCACCCTACAAAGCATAATTTTTTCCCAAGGGAACAGACCTCTGTAGTCTGCTGTAATTCCAAGGGATCCCCAGGTCCCAACAGACTGGAGTGCAGTCTATGGACATTCTGTGGATCTTCTGTTGGAGGTTTATACCCTTTCAACTTGTGTCCTTGCAGTCTGAGGAGAACATCAGTGTTAGTTTGTCTTTAATGTGCACAGATTGCACATTTCTGTGATTCAGAAACCATCAGAAAAGCACTCTCAGGTCTTCAGCAATGTTATCACATTGGTGGTGGAAAGAGGCATCAAGTCACAGCTGGGTTATGGCAACCCCCTTAGGGTTTTCAAGGCAAGAGATGAACAGAGGTGATTTCTTATCGCCTGCTTCCGCATAGCAATCCGGGACAGTAAAGTTATGTGTTGATATTTGGACCACTTGCAAAGCTGAAAGCATGCCTTGTTGAGAAAGCTGATGCTTTTTCTAATTTGCAACGTTAAGTTGGTGGTGGAACGTGCCATCGAATTGCTGCTGACTTATGGTAACCCCATAAGGTTTTCAAGGCAAGAGGCCAACGGAAGTGGTTTCCCATTGCCTGCCTGTGTTGCTTGTCTTTTCTCTGATCAATCTGACAGTGGGAGAGAATCCAAAACCCATGTTTGGGACCACAAGACGGTCCATGAGAAATTCAAAAGGAATGCTGGCTTGCTGGCTTACTCTATCCCTTCAGTTTAATACTCATCCAAAAAGAACAATTTTTTAATCAAATTGTTTTCTTTCTTTTCTCCTCCGGGGATTCAGTAAGCAGATCAGAGCTAGAAACTTCTCCAGCCAAAGAAATTGGACTGGTAAGTTGGATGATGGTTTTGCATAATAAAACACATAAATCCAACTCATGTAATGTGGCACACATGCTTTGGATTTATTCATGGTTCTGGATGGGCAACTCGTTTAAGGCTGTTCCAGAGGATGGAAGAGGAGGTGCTAGGCCCCAGCTCATATGTTCCAAGGCTTCTGGTGTGGGAATATCTCCAGTGTCCTGGCACACCAGAAGCCTTGGAAAGCTGGCAAAGATTGTAGGATACATTCTGGATGTCAAAAGCTACTCCAGAATTTTGACAGAGTGGAATGGATTCTCCCTACTCTGATAAAACAGTGGATCTGAAGGGTTTTGTTCATTGTGTCTTCTTCAGCCTGTATGTTCTTAAAAATCCATCATTTCTCTTTTGGCTGCAGTTTCATCATGCGGGGCTCAATTCCACATTCCTTTGCACCCACATTGTTTATTTTAAATGACTTTTCTTGCAAATGTAGCCTGTAAGATTGAGGGAGAAAACAGCATGGTGTGGGAGCAAAACGTTTACCTCTGTCTTCTTGTTTTGTTTCCACTAAGGGTCTGGTCACACGGACGTTTATTGCGGGATTAGCTGCTGATCCCTCGCGCTTTTAAAGTTGCTGTTTACACGCGCAAGTCCGCCTCCCGCACCAAAGCAGGCTCAGTCGCACAAGACTTGCGGGTTTTCCTGACCCCGGGAAAATCAAGTACTTTCCTGGATCTCACGCTTTGAACCCGCGATTTCACCTATGTGAACAGCCCTCTTTCGCAATGATTTCGCAATTATTGCGAATAGGGCCGTCTGAACACTCTCTGAATTTTTTTTTTAGAAAGCTTCCGGTTTGAGCGCATGGGCAGACATTTGCTTAAGAAGTCAATTTTTAAAAAAAATAATAATGTGTGAGCGTAGGGCCAGGCATTCGCTTAAGAAGTCAATTAAAAAAAAAAGTCAGTGCTTACAGCAAGCAGGTGGCGGAGACGGCGCCCGAGCAGCACGAGCGGCTCGCAAATTGGACTGGTAAGTTGGATGATGGTTTTGCATAATAAAACACATAAATCCAACTCATGTAATGTGGCACACATGCTTTGGATTTATTCATGGTTCTGGATGGGCAACTCGTTTAAGGCTGTTCCAGAGGATGGAAGAGGAGGTGCTAGGCCCCAGCTCATATGTTCCAAGGCTTCTGGTGTGGGAATATCTCCAGTGTCCTGGCACACCAGAAGCCTTGGAAAGCTGGCAAAGATTGTAGGATACATTCTGGATGTCAAAAGCTACTCCAGAATTTTGACAGAGTGGAATGGATTCTCCCTACTCTGATAAAACAGTGGATCTGAAGGTTTTTGTTCATTGTGTCTTCAGCCTGTATGTTCTTAAAAATCCATCATTTCTCTTTTGGCATTTCTCTTTTCATCATGTGGGGCTCAATTCTGCATTCCTTTATACCCACATTGTTTATTTTAAATGAATTTTCTTGCAAATGTAGCCTGTAAGATTGGGGGGGGGGGTAACAGCATGGTGTGGGAGCAAAACGTTTACCTCTGTCTTCTTGTTTTGCTTCCACTAAGAAAAAACAGAGGAAGAAGAGTCCCTGACTCCTCCTCTGCTGTTCTCCTCCTTGATAAAGCACTCCCAGAGGCTGCCTTTGCAAAAGAGAAAAATCATTGTTTGGCATAAACATGGGGGTGTGTGTGTGTGTACTTGAGCCCTGAACCAAACCGGCTTGAGTTCCGAACTTCTTAGTATCTTCCCCAGACCCTGTGCTCTGAAAAACTGCAGTGAAGTTGTAGATTATGTAGGCACCAGTTGAGATCTTGAACAACGATCAAAAAAATATTGGCAAAGAAGTCTGGAGTGAGTCAAAGGAGCACCTCTGATCAGCTTTGGGTAGAGTGGAAGGAAGCGTGGCTCTGTGAAGGAACCCCTTTTCTTCAAGCATCTCCAGTTAAGGATCCGATAGTACACGCGGTGTGAAATACCTACACCCTGAGAGTGTGCCTCTATAAGTTCACGCAGCAGCTGATGAGTTTGGAAGTAGGATAGAGACAATACTGCCTGCCCTTGTGCTATGGGAGTCTGTTCTAATCACACCTACCCCAGCAGGCTGTGAAGCCACATTCGCATGTGTACATGTAACATGCCATAGAATGTAACAGCATCTGGAGCAGGACAACATCTGTTGTGGCTATTCCTCTACCCTGCTAGCTGACAATCAGAGCTGGAATTCTGCTTGTTACAGTTAGGGGGGGGGGGACAGTCCAGATCCCATGCTCATACTTGGGGGTAGGGCTGGCGTCAGTGTATCCTGAGGTGAGGCAGCTGCTGGGCCCCAGGATTTCTGATAGGGCCCACCAGGGGTCATTTCAGTAAGGAGCTCAGGAGGCGGGCACATGTGACAAGCCCCACCCCCTGCTCCCAGCAGCCCTCAGTCGGGCAACAAGGAGCAAGAAGCAGCCAGATAAGTTGCAGAGCCCCCCCCCAGTCCGCCTTCAAGTACAAGCTCTCCCTCCTCTGTGAGGTCAGATCTGCGCATCCCCCCCATAGCTAGCCATTCAAAACAGTCCAGTGGCACCTTTAAGACCAAGTTTTATTCAGGTACAAGCTCTCCCTCCTCTGTGAGGGCAGATCTACATGCCCCCCCCCAATAGCTAGCAATCCAAAACAGTCCAGTGGAGCCTGAGCGGTGGGTGTTGCCTTCTGACAGACTTCCGGTGATGTCAGGGGTGTGGTATATGCTAATGAGCCCCTGCACCTCTTTTTCTATGAAATGACCCCTGGGGCCCACTGTGATTGCCCCTCCACTGGGGCATCTGCCCTGCCACCTGTCTGTATGCCCTTCCCTGCCAAGCACTCCACCCTCCACCTTGCTCACAGCTTCCCAGCATAAATGGGGAAATGTATGCAGGCAGTGCATATTGGCAGCACTCTGGGTGATCAGATCAGCAGCACTACCCGCTGTAGGCACCACCCAGTGCTGCTAGGAAAAGGGCATGAATGGTGCAGACGGCTGTGTGTAACCAGTGCTAGAGCAGCTTGTGAGCAGGGGAAGGATGCGCAGTCAGGTTGGGGGGTACCAGGCCCGTAGCCACAGTGGGGCATTTAGGGGTGGTGCCCCCTCACTCATGGCCCACACCCCACAACTCCCACTGTGGGTAAGGAAAGAGCCTTCACCTGCCTGCTATCCCTCATTCCCCTGCCCCCACCCTGATTCCCCAATGCCCCACCACCCAAAATTTTCTGGCTAAGCCCCTGGGGGGTACACATACCGGTGGGTGCAAAGGGAGGCAGGAGGGGGGCTGGGGGGTGAGCAGAAGAGGGCCGCTAGGCACTGTCTGCCCAGGCCTGCCCAGAACCTGGAACTGGCACTGCTTGGACGGGGGGGGGGTACTTCAAAAGCTCACATTGCTTTGATTTCCTGGGCAAATAAAATGCTTTTCAGAATGCAGTCCAGGCAGCAGAGAAGACTAACATTCTCTCCTGACCCCGCCTTGCCAGCATCCTCCTCTAGTCAGCCAGCCCAGCGAAGTGGCCTACGCCGACCTCCACTTCAACAAAAGGGAAGTGCGACCAGATGCTGAAGTCATTTATGCAGAAGTGAGAACCCCTCAGAAACGGCAAGCCTGCCAAGATGCCAAGCAGATGCGACCCACGGGCAACCAGAGGCGATGAGGCGGAACGGAGCCAGGAGACAGAAGACAATCCCCTGCAGGCCTTTCCCGGAAGACCGAGCGAGTGAGTCTGCTTTCTGGGAACAGGAGAGCTGCTCTGTCCCGCCCCGCTTCTGCCAGCCACACTGATGAGCAGCCTGAGCAGCTAAGCTGACTGACCCCTACGGGCTGCGGGGCTGCACTGGCCCTCCGGATCTCTCCAGTCACCCTCCATATCCCACCCCTAAAAAAAACCTTGCAAGAGAAGGGGGAAGAGCACAGAGGGAACTTGAGTCCCTCTGCTGGCGTGTAGATGGGATGTCCCCTTGAGCTAACTAAGGAATGCATGAACCTAAGAAGAGCTCTGCTGGATCAGACTAATAGCCCATCTTGTTCAGCGTTGTGCTCACACAGTGGCCAACCAGTTCCTCTGGAGGGCCAGCAACAGAGTATAGAGGCCAAGGCCTTCCCCTGATGTTGCCTCCCGGCTCTGGGATCCGGGGGCTTAGTGCCTCTGAATGTGGAGGTTCCTCCTCAGTCGCCATGGCTAGTAGCCACTGATAGACTTACCCTCCATGAATCTATGCTGATTGTATTTTAACTATTTTAAGATTGTAAATCGCCCAGAGCCTGCTTGCAGGGTGGGCGAATCATACATTCAAACGAATAAATGGTGGCGTGTAGATGGGATGTCGCGGTTCCTCCTCAGTCGCCATGGCTAGTAGCCATTGATAGACTTACCCTCCATGAATCTATGCTGATTGTATTTTAACTATTTTAAGATTGTAAATCGCCCAGAGCCTGCTTGCAGGGTGGGCGAATCATACATTCAAACGAATAAATGGTGGCGTGTAGATGGGATGTGGCGGTTCCTCCTCAGTCGCCATGGCTAGTAGCCATTGATAGACTTACCCTCCATGAATCTATGCTGATTGTATTTTAACTATTTTAAGATTGTAAATCGCCCAGAGCCTGCTTGCAGGGTGGGCGAATCATACATTCAAACGAATAAATGAATAAATCTATCTAATCCCCTTTTAAAGCTGTTTATTCTTGTGGCCATCACTACATCCTCTGGCAGCAAGTTCCACATTTTAACCACTCTCTGTGTAAAGAATCCTTTCCTTTTGTCTGTCCTGAACCTACTGCCCACCAGCTTCATTGGATGACCTCAAGTTCTAGTACTTGGGAGAGGGAGAAAAATTTATCTTTGTCAACTCTTTCCGCCCCATGCATAGTTTTATAAACCTCTATCACGTTGCCCCTTACTGGTCTCTTTTCTCAACTGAAAAGTCCCAGACTCTTCAGCCTTTCCCCAAAGGGAAGGCGCTCCATCCCCCTAACCATTTTGGTATCCTTCCTCTGTATGCTCAGTCCTTCCGGGAGCTGCTGCCCAAGGGACCATTCAGACCCCGCCCCCTGGTCTGTGAGTGAGCTGCTTTCAAGTGCTGCTGCATTAAGCTCGTAGGGCAGCCAAGTCCTACTTGCGAAATTCCTGGAGGTTTAGGGGTGGTGCCAGGGGAGGGCAGAGTTTGGGAAGGGGAGAGAGCTCAGCTGGGATAGGATGCCCTAGATTCCCCCTGATGAAGCTGCCGTCTCCTCCAGGAAGATACTTTCAGGTGGGTAGCTGTGTTGGCCTGCGGCAGGAGAGCAAGATGCAAGACCATTAAAAAGTAAAAGGTAAAGGTTCCCTTGCTCGAAAGCCAGTCGAGTCCGACTCTAGGGTTGCAGTGCTCATCTCCGTTTCCAAGCCGAAGAGCCAGCGCTGTCCGAAGACGTTTCCGTGGTCATGTGGCCGGCATGACTAAACACCAAGGCGCACGGAACGCTGTTACCTTCCCACTGAAGTAGTACTTATTTATCTACTTGCAATTTCTTGCTTTCTAACTGCTAGGTTGGCAGGAGCTGGAACTAGAGACGGGAGCTCACTCCATCATATGGCAACTCGGGTCTCGAACTGCTGAACTACCAGCCTTCCACAGGCTGCAGTTCAGCATCTTAACCACTTGAGCCACCACAGACCATTAGTAGCACCATAAAGACCAACAAGATTTCCATCCAGGGGATAAGCCTTTGAGATTCAAAGCTCCCTTCATCAGAGCTTTGGCTCTCAAAAGCTCCTACCCTGGGAATTTTGTTGGTCTTTAAGGTGGTACGGGGCTCGAATCTTGCATTTCCTCCAGGGGAACTGTAGTCTCCAGACCATACCTGGAGGTCCGTGACGTGACCCTACCTGTGACTAACACAGCCACGTGAGCAGAGCTGATCCCAAGAACCTCTCTCACCTAACTGCAGATTCCACCAGGAGGAAGGGGAATGGCTGGGTGTGAAAGAGACTGGGCCTCACCCATGTGGCTGCACTGTGGGGTGGGAGGCGGGGTGGGAGGACCCAACTGGGATGTAACTCTGTGGTAGGGCTCCTGACTCTCTCTTGTCAGACCTGCATGTGAAAGGAACAAGATCACAGGTACTTCAAACTAGTAGAATTATCCCCCACCCCAGACAAAGTTCCCATTCAATAGCAGGACTATCATAGGGCAAGGCACAGCAAGACCGCAGGCTGATGTTTCAATGGATCCTCAGGTCAAAAAAGAATTCTGTCCCTGCATGTGAAAACTAGAGCTTTAAGAACTTTTCTCCTTGGCAAGCTAGCTTTCCAGAGGCAGGGAACATACAGGGAGGAGCATTGAATCATGGGAACACACACACCCCATGCCAATTCTGAAGTGATACAGTCTGGCAAGTACATCTTGCCTCCAGTTCAGCAAATTGTGGACAATATAAAACAATGCAGATAGCGCAGCTGGGCCTGAAGACACATGCCTCTCTTTGAAAAGCAGAAGAAGTCCCCCACAGATCTATAGGGAAGGGCAGAATCCACCCCCAAGCCCTAGCCCACACAACTGAGTGTTGGGATTATCGGCTTGATTTAAAAGTATGCCCACCTGCCATTATGGGATCAGGAAGGGAACACAAACGAACAGACCTGTCCCATGAGGCTCTTTATCCAACTAGGGTTATGCAAGGTAGGCTTTTGTGCAAGTACAATCTCCCAGCTGGATCAGGGCACCTGGCTAAAATCCTGCAACCAGGTGAGGCTCCTGAAATCCATGTGAATCCTGCCTACCCACTGCACTCCTCCAGAACAATGTATGACTGAGGTGCGGTAGGCGGATCCTCATTCTTCCCTCGTCCCCTGAGGATCTGGAGTGGGTGGGGGGATTTATGTTAGGCTTCTAGGATCACTGACACATCGGTCATTTGCCCCAGCTTGGAAGCTATTGGGTTCTGTTCCTGCTTCCACACCATCTCACGGTGGTGGTTTTATGTACTTCTTGGGCTTCCGGTCTTTCCCAGATCTGCATAGTCTTGTGTTTGAGGAAAGATTGCAGCAAAGACAGCTGTGTGGACAGAAAAGTCAGATCTTCCCGATCCCACCCACATTGGTGCTATTTCCCCTGATTCTGCCCCTCACAAAGGCCAATTCCTGCCACCACCACCACCACAGGATTTTTAATCGGCAACTGACATGTTGTAGCATTATAATAGTCTCTCTGTCAGGTTCTCAGAATCCTCAGCTTTCATTGAAACAGTAGGTCTCTAGCCTGCCTCCTTTGTTGTGAAGACAGGCCTGAACAGCAACTGCAGGGGATCGGGGCAGGGTACATGGAGAGAAATATGGTGTATTCAATTCAATGTAAGTTGTATGTGAACTCACTCATTGGAACACCATGCAAAGCTTCGTCCTGGGCAAGGATCCTAATTCCTCAATTCCTATTGGTAGCCCAGGAAGAGCTGACCAATCACCTAACATCCAGTTCCCTGAGAGGGAACGTCTGTGATTGGACTTTATCTTTACAATCCTATTGGTTGATATGTACAGTAGGGCGTGGCTACATTAGCCGGGAGAGTTTAAAAGGCGCTCAGCTGCAATGCAAAAGTTGTTCTGGTTGTTCTGTTCTGGTTGTGTTAAGCGTTGCTCATTTAAAGCTGGATCACTGGCTGAAATCACTCTCTGACTCTTGTTAAGTAGCCAACTTAACAAGAAACCTGCTATGTGGAAAGTTCTGCTGCAGCTGCACTGGGTCAAAAGCCACAACACACACGGCCGTCCCTGTGTGCAAACACCAATATCCTATCCACAGGGGAAACCCACATCCCAGCTGCACTGGGTCAAAAGCCACAACACAGACAACACACACGGCCATCCCTGTCCACAGGGAAAACCCACATCTATAGTCACTGGAGGGGTCACATCTCAGAGATACTAAAAGATGATGGGAGCACAGAGGCATATGAATGGGGAAGGAATGACACAGAACAAAAGACGCAGGAGGAGAACATTTTATTAGGGTCAAATCGGCCACATGAAACAGGTATGAATACTTGACTGCACAGGACATGCAGTCACACATAACAGGAGCTTAGTTTATGGGAAGGGAGCCTATGCAAATGCTGTCCCAAGCAGAGTTGTTCCCTTTTAAGTTCCACAGAAGCCAATGGGCTTAGAAAGGCCATAACTCTGCTTAGGATGGCACCGCTGGAATGGACAGGCTGTGGTGTGTGTCTGTGCACCTTTCTTCCGCACACTGCCTGTTGATTCTCTTCTCTAAATAGCCCCCCTCCCAAAGGTGTCCTTTCCCTTGACAAAGCGTTCCATGGACAAAGGCTTTTGTTACGTCTATGTGACATGCAGACTTGACCTGAGATTGAACTATGAAAATAGATTTTTGTTATTTCCTGAAGACCACCATATTTTGGGGAGAAAAAAAGCCCAGGTTAATAATACGCAAGGAATAAACTAGCATGGATCCTTGTAACTGGGTGATGAGGGAGGTTTCCAGGGGTGGCTCCCATTGAATCTGGGCAGGGAGTGAATTAAGCATAAAACTTGATATACTCCGCCAGGCGAGGGTCCTTGCACAGTTTCTCTTCCAGTGCTACATATTTCTGTGGGGCTCTCTCCTTGTGCCTGGGGAAGGGGGACAAAAAAAGATTAAGAAGAAGAGTTGGATTTATACCCCGCTTTTCACTCGGTGTCTCAGCGCGGCTTACAATCTCCTTCCCTTCCTCTCCCCACAACAGACACCCTGTGAGGTAGGTGGAGCTGAGAGAGCTCTGAGAGAATGGCTCTTGAAAGAACTGGGACTGACCCAAGGTCACCCAGCTGGCTGCATGTGGAGGAATGGGGAATCAAACCAAGTTCTCCAGATTAGAGTCCACCGCTCTTAACCACAACACCAAACTCGCTCTAAAATAAACATTTAAGGGCATAGTCACACTCTAGACTCAAAATGGTGTATCAGTCTCTCTCTTTCTTCAGAAACGTCCCCTAGGAACTGTAGTTCTGTGAAGATGAGATTTTTAACAGAATAATCTCAGTTCTTCACCAAAGTACATTTCACAAGATTCGGGGGGGGAACCATGACAGTTAAGGTGGTGTAAAACTGCTATCAGCTTGGCAGTAACAACTATATTTATTGGTTCTTTCCTGAATAACTGGGCCGTATCAAAGTGGGATCGCATGGCTGCTGTCCCCCAAAATTAGCCATTTTGGCTTCTGGGCAGGGTTGCCAGCTAGTGGGAGAGGAGGGGGGGCAGGAATGGGGGGGTGATGACCCCACTTCTGACAAATGCCTGGTGCAATGCTGCTCTTCTGTCAGTTTTTTACCCCCACGGCCCACCAAGTGGTGGCAGGTAGCGAAGGGGGAGGCCAGGAGGTCACCTGATTCCTGGGTCCTTTTCTCCTCTTAATTGCCCTACCTTGTTCTTAATAAGAGTAGCGGGAAGCAGGATTGTACCCACTGATCCTGCTGCCAGACACCCATGAGAACGTCTGCAGTGATTCCCTCCTTGTGGACAAGTAGTCTGTATACAGGCTTCTCCATGTGACTGGGAAATGCTGCTTAATGCAGGGTCCTAATCACATGGGGACTCCTACACACAAATAAAAGTGCGCACACAGACAAACAGCACAGACAATCCAACTGGATGTGCAAACGTATGGAGGTGGGGCTGGAGTGGCATGTTCCCACTCCCTTCTATATGAACTGCATGTGCACGTTTGCCAGCACCAAATTATCATCTCAGATGCAAAATTGGCATCCAGTGGCGTGATGCATTTTCAGTGGCTGCCCTTGTGTTATGGACAGAGTGCTCTCCCCAGGCTGTTTGTTTGTCCCCATCAGTGATTTTGTTCCTTTTTCTCGGGGTATGTGATAAAGACTGGACATGTTACCAGGTGGTTCTTAATATTGCTATGTTTCTGGTAGTATTTAACAGCACTACTGTTTTTAATTAGGATGCTTTAATATGATAAGGTTATAAACAGTCTTTTAAAACTCTTAAAGTTCTAAGGAACTTGCAATGCCATCCAAAGCAGAGTTACACCCGAGCCCATGAAAAGTCAAGGAGCTGAGAAGGACATGACTTTGCTTTAGTTTGGCAATGTCAGAAAGCAAAAATAAACAAAAAGGTCACTGAATAAGTTGAGGCGTGAGCAAGGGTTGTGTATATGGTAATCAGCGGGAGACTGGGGGGGGCAACATGGGAGGGGCAGTGCTGCCAGCATGATGCACTCCCAGGAAACCCCAAGAGTGGTGCCTCTCTAGGAATTACCAGAAACTCTGTAGTAAAACCATAGCGTTTCCAGCGATTCCTAGACAGGACTACCATCATATCTGGGTTTTGCCTGGAAATGACATTATGCTGTTGCTCAAAGTTCTAAGGAACTTGCAATGCCATCCAAAGCAGAGTTACACCCAAGCCTATTGCCAACGTAAAGAAAAGTCAATGAGCTGAGAAGGACATGACTTTGCTTTCGGTTGGCAAGGTCAGAAAGCAAAAATAAACAAAAAGTTGAGGCATGAATGAGTTGAGGCGTGAGCAAGGATTGTGTATATGGTAATCAGTGCGAGACCAGGGAGGGCGACATGGGAGGGGCAGTGCTGCCAGCATGATGCACTCCCAGGAAACCCCAAAAGTGGTGCCTCTCTAGGAATTACCAGAAACTCTGTAGTAAAACCATAGCGTTTCCAGCGATTCCTAGACAGGACTACCATCATATCTGGGTTTTGCCTGGAAATGACATTATGCTGTTGCTCCAACAGCCATTTTTCTATTTATTTTTTTTTGTCCTGCTGCCACTCCAAACACCAGCAGGAAACAAGGGGGTGTGGCAAAGTAAAAGTACCCAGGAATTCCTTGCCGGGGGTGGGGGAGACTTGGGGATGAGACTTGTTCACAATACCTATTGAGCCTGTTCTCTAAGATGCGAATGCGGAACATGGCTTCAGAGCAGAAGCTTAAGTAGGCATCCTCATCCTCCAAGGTCATGTTAAGCTGGTTCTGCTGGTACCATTGCTGCTTCTTCTGAAGCTCCTGGGTTTCCTGCATGAGGACAGAAAGGCAGAGAATAGATCTGGGAGGGAGGACAGAAGGAAGGTATTCCGACAATAGGGTAAAACTCAGGAGAGGTGATGATGAATGGGCCAAGCCAGCCCTTCCTTTGGCCCTCCCCTGCTTCCCTGTGAATTAAATACTCAACGAAATTTGAACTACCGCTCTATTTGTATGTGCTGACCATCCCTAAATTAAGAAGAGCATATATGGTGGCCCGTTGTAATGCGTTTCCTTCTGCGCAGATGAAGGGTCGCTTCCAGGGTATTCCTGTTAATCAGTGTTTCTGCGACTGTTCACTGGAGGATGTGGACTCCCTCTCCCACATCTTTTTTCATTGCCCTGAACATACAGCTGGGAGAGGAAAAATTTTGAGGAAATGGCTACTGAAATACTCACCCTTCCCGGAATCTAGACTCTGGTTGAATAGTTTCTGTTTTAATTGCATAACAGATGTGGCAACATTTTGTTTTGTTGTAATTTTAAATCTGTAAACTTTTTAAGGTGTATGGCTTATGGGCTTCTAAACCTAATAAATGAATGAAAGGATGAATGAGCTTCCCTGTCGAGGGATGGGGGGGGACCAAGGCACCTTCTCGAAACGGGCTTGGATGAGGTTGGCCTTGTCGACGAGCCGGTGCTTGAAGTCGTTCAGGCAGTCTTCCTTGAGGCGCAAGGCAAGCCACTTGGTCATCTTCTCGACTCCGCCCATCTGGATTAGGAAAGGGGCCAGGTAGTCGAGATCCTGCTCCACCTGCCGCTGGCGCTCCTCTTGCATCAGGCGCTCCTGCCAGGAAAGAGAAGCCGCTTTGCTATGCTCGCTGGACCATGAGAGATCTCCAGATGGGACACTCCTGCAGCAAGGAGCAAAGCACCAACGCTTGCGTCTCAAGGCATCATTACATCCTTTCAGAAGGTGCAACCGGGACTCGGGGCTCTGGCATATCTAGGCTGCCAGCTGGAGGAGCAAGGGATGTGCATCCAATAAGGGCTGACACTGCGCTCAGCTGGGAAACTGTCATATCCCCTTGGGGGGATTTTTTGGTATTTTTTTATCCCGCCCTTTACCCAAGGAGCTCAGGGCAGCATCCATCATTCTCTCCATTTCTGTTTTATCCTCACATCCACCGTTGAGAGTATGACTAGCTGAAGGTCTACATTGCCAACCTCCAGGTGGGCCCGGAGGCTGGCAATGTAGACCTCCAGGTGGGGCCTGGAGATCTAGAATCACACCTGACCAGAGATCATTTCCTCTGCTCTGGAGGGTGGACTCTGTGGCATTATGCCCTGCTGAGGTGTCTCCCCTTTCCCAAACCCCTCCTCCCCCAGGCTCCACTCCCAAAATCTCCAGGAATTTCCTAACCGTGAATTCCAAGAAAAGGAGGGCCGCACCAAGCACTATCGCTGTAGGAAGTGTTCAGACTGTACATCACAGATCCCCCGATGAAGCACGTGTGAAACATATGCTCATAGTGAATTAAGCCTCCCCGCTGCACCAATTGCCTTCTGCTCCGACCATGAGCCGGCAGCACTGTTGGCATCATACGATGAGCTTCAAGACTGAGGGGGCATTTGAAGAGAAAGCAAGAGGACCTCACCCAGTCGTCAAGAAAACTGAATAAAATTGAATGAATAAATACCACAGCCCAGTGTTCCCTCTAAGCTGAGTTAGTGTGAGCTAGCTCACAGGTTTTTAGCCTCCAGCTCACACATTTCTGTCTTAGCTCGGGAAGGGATGGCTCCAGAGCAAACTAATTTATGCAGTAGCCAAATCAATCGCTCACAACTTTAATGCCAGCAGCTCACAAAGTAGAATTTTTGCTCACAAGACTCCACAGCTTAGAGGGAACTTTGCCACAGCCTACTTTTTTTTTTCTTGAGTGGGGATTTGAACCTGGGTCTCCCAGCCAACAGATCCTAATCCAGCACACTCACCACTGCACCACACTGGCCAGCATTACCTACCATGCTGAATGAAGGCTGGTCTCCTACATGGCCATAGTTGTAGGGTCCAACTGGGGGGGAAATTTAGCCATTGCGTAAGTTGTGGGCTTGGCTGATCCACACAAACAAATGATAGGCTTAGGCATGGATCAGCCAGAGTTTGATATTATATCCTGGAGGGCAAAGGGCACGTCTACACTACCAACTTATATGAGCAGATCATCTCCTTCTGTTCTCCTTTCTCTCGCCCCCCCCCCCCCGAATCCTGGGAACTGCAGTTTGGTCAGCGGCTGCAAATCTCACCAGAGATATTTTCTTTGCTCACTATTACAGTTTTAAGGACTTCCTAGGAAAGGAGGGAACTGTTAACTGCAAGCCAGCCTAGAAGAAGGTTGCTAATTCAAGACTGCCTGTTCACCTACCATTAATTCTCTCTGTTCTCTGCTCTTCTCATTCCTTTCTGTATCGTAGATGGCCACAGTCAACTTGTTGGCTGCTACTTCTTCCTCTCGAATCCTCAGAATGTCCAGAACCTTGGGTGCAATAGACAAAGTTAGAAAAACGAAACAAATTGCTAGCCAATCCCATTCTGTCATGAGCCTTGGTGGGACCTGGATGTTTCTCATCATGAGATCAAGGGCAGCTCAGTGCATGTGTGATTTGCACTGGAAAAATTACCTAGGTGAGGGTCTGCACAGCCCTTTGTATATCAAAACATTGTGCATTATGTTGTACACTACTTTGTTTAAGTTTGGGCATAATGGCTGCTTCCACACAGAGGCAGAAAAACACACCTCTGCTACAGCAGCAGCAGCAAGTAGCACAGAAGCCACCGGGAATGGCATCCATGCCCTTCCCCCCCATTTCTGGGCCACTCGCTGTTGCTACCAATCTCCACTCCTCTCCTTTTCCTTGTCACATCTGTGCAAAAGCACAGGAGCAATAGTATTCATGCTTCTTCCCGCCTAAGGAGGAAGAGCCACGTAAGTTGGTGGATAGGGTTGGGCATGAAAATTCAGTCCATGGCCAAATGATGAACCAATACAAACTGGGAGGTGGGTTCACAAACCAAATTGGTTTGTATTGGTTTGTGACCCTTGCTTTTTGCTCCTCACCACTTTTTACGGGGAGCAGAAAGCAGGGGTTTCTCCATGAAAAGCTGCGTGGAGCAGAAAGCAGGGGTTTAAATGGCTTGTAGTCATTTAAACCCTTCCTTTCTGCTCTTCACAAACTGCCATGAACTGCTTCAAAATTCGTGGACGTTCGTGGTGGCTCTTCAGTTCGCGAACCACAAACCAGGCAAAATTCATTACAGACTTTCATTTGTGAGCCGGTTCATGCTTATTCATATTTGTGGAAGTCTCCTTAGGCTAGAAGAAGGCTTCAAACTTTGCACAGGGGATTGGTAAGCATGCCTCCCACTTACGAAGTGGCCAGGGGCTACATATTCGGGATGACTCCCTGCTGCAGCCCTCCATTTCTTCACCAAGAGCATCTAGGAAGCTGCCTTATGTGCATCCAGTGTATTGATGCATTAAGCTCTGAAACAGTGATGGCTGTTCTGACCAGTGATGGCTGTGCCTGGATTCGGGCAGTGGTCCTTCCCAACCCTGGTGCTCGAGAGCTTTCAATGGGAGTGGATCAACAGTGCCGTTCCAAGCAGAGTTATGCCCATCTAAGATGTCAGAATTCAGTCTTAGAGGGGTGTAACTCTGTGTAGGATGGCACAGTAAACCTAGGCTCTTCTGCCCTTGAGGCTTCCCAGATACCTCCATCTCAGACTCCCAGACTTGGTGCCTGGACAGCTTCTCCTCTTCCATTAAGCGCAGCATCATTTCGTATAGATGAAACAACTTCTCGTCTTTTTCAGTCAGCCCTGCCTAAAGACAAACATATCAATGAAGAATGACACTCCCATGGAGGGAGGGTCTTATCCAATGGGCAACAAGTACAGGTGCCCTGGGTCCCATGCTGGGGGGAGCTGGCTCCAAGGCCAAGCCTTTTCAAGGGCTTGGGCAGCTGATCAGGCAGTGATGGCCACTTGTACTGACCAAGGCTCAGGCAACGAGCTCCTGGTGGCAGCAAGGGCTCCTGTCCACCCCATACAGGGCAAGGGCTGCCCTTACTTGGACCCAGTAGAATGGGGGGGGCACCTGAAGGGGCAGTGATTCTGGGACCCAGAATCACTACAACTACTCCTGCATTCCCAGGCATGTCTAGCTCTTCAGGATTAGTACAGCAACTATTAATGCCCTTGATCTGCTGATCTTCAAACGACGGAGTTGAAACTGTTGGAAAATTGGTAAAATAGTTAAATATTCAGAGGTTGCAATGGATCTTTGTTCACTGGAGAGGAGGCATTTTCTTTCTATGTAGAAATTTTTATTTCTAAAGCGAAGGGTACATGGGAAAATTTACAAAACAACAAACACTTAAGACTACATGCTTGCAACAATGGACACACAGATAGTAATGGAGATTCTTCCTTTCTTCTTGACCCCTAGAAGGAAATCACCTGAATGCATTAACCAATGATTGTTAGTAAATAGGCTTCAGTTCTGCGGGCTTTCTTCCCATTGGCTTTCTGCCAGGTTCCCTTCCAGGTCAGTCTAAACAACAGCACACAAGGTAAGCACATTAACCCTATAATGACTGAATTTTAGACATTGCAACACACATATTTCCAACAGAGATAGGGTTGCCAGGTTCCCCCTGACCACCAGCTTGGGGGAAGAGGAGAGAGGGTAGGATTGCGAGAGCCAGGTTGGGAAACTCCTGGAAATTTGTGGGTGGAGCCTGGGGAGGACAGGGACTTCAGTGGGGTACAATGCCACAGAGTCCACCCTCCAAAACATTCATTTTCTTCACAGCAACTGAACTCCATAGCCTGGAGATGAGTTGTAATTCCAGGGGATCCCTAGGTCCCACCTGGAGGCTGGCATCCCTAGGGTGAGATGCTCTGGTAGGTGGTAGAGCCCAACCTGCTGGGCCATCAGCTCCTGTGGAACTCCTAACTCTTTTTTTGCTGCTTCTTGGATGGATCTGCTGCTAGTGCTCATGCGTAGCCAGAAAGGGAGCCACACCCCCGGCCTCTGGAGGAGCAGCAGAGCAGTAAGGCATGATGACTAAGCGGTGGAGAGGATTATTTTATAGCATGGACAGGTTCAGAGATTCCAGAGCCTGTTTTTCCTGTCACATGACTGTAATCATGTGATTTCCTGCCACATGCTTCCAGTTTGGTGGGTCCCATGCTGTTGCCTGGGGTCAAAGGGCAGCTGCTGGTTTAAAAAGGCCTCCATGGTAAAGATCATAGAGATGAGGGGACATTCCTAGAGCATTCCCATCAATACCATTCCCCCCTCCCCTCTATTTTTCTCCAGTTCTTCAAGTTATTGAGAGTGGGGGTGGGAGTTTGCCCATTGCCAATGGGCAAATGGCAACCCTTCTGCCCATAATTTCCTGTCAGATACAGGCCAGGGGCTCTGACCTGGCTGGGTTGCCCCCTTCAGAAAGAAGGGTGTTTGAAGTCTTCATTCCTGGACTGGGACTCTGGCACCATATGTCCTTGGAGCCCATGGAACCATCCATTTACTGGGCTGTCTGGCACATGGAGCCACAAGGAGCTCATCTACCAAAATATACAATGCAATCCTGATTAGAATTACACCCTTCTGAGCCCAATGATTTCAATAGATTCAAGAGGGTGTGACTCTGCTTAGGATTCCACGGTTAGTCCCTGTTTCCTTCTGCTGTTAGTGTTTGTACCAATCAGAAATCACTTTGTCTCCCATGATCAAACACTTGCCCATGGGGGGGGGGGAATCTTCACACATGGACAACTATCATTTCAGGGAGAAGAATGAGGCATTGACATGATAGCTCTCTAGCATATGCTGAGAACTCTTCTATATGAAGGAATATTCAACCAGGTAAGGTGCCCCTCCACACACAGGTACTCTGAGATGGTCTAGTCCAAACACAATTTTGCCACCTTGGTGCAAACAAGGCCTACACTTCAGTCCAACAAATGGATTTGGGGGATCATTTCAATAATCCTTAAAACAATACTGTAAGGTATGTCTGTGTTTTTATCCCTATGTTGCAGATAGGTGGGAGGGGCTGAGGCTCTGTCATTCATCTCAGGACGTCTAGTGAGTTGATGGCTAAAGAGTTGAACTGGGGCCTTTTCAGCTTATATTCTTACAATAATATATTCTTATAATATTGTATTCTTGTAATTCTTGTAATTCTTACAAGAATATATTCTTACACCATGATATATATATTCTTACACCATTATATATATATTCATCTTATATTCTTACAATAATGTAAGAATATATTCTTACACCATGATATATATTCTTACATCATGAAAGGCTATGATAAAAACAGAACTGCAAGCAGAAAACAGAAGCTTACTCCAAACAACTTCCCACAAAGGCACTGTAAAATCCTTCCCAAATACTGGCGTGGCCATCTCACATACCTCCCATGTTGTAGCAATGGGCTGTTTGTACCTGATAGCTGAGGCACATATCTTGAGTCATGATGATCTTATTCCCAGTGGTGTCCACGTCGGATCGTTTGTTGAACTCCCTCTTTGAGGCCGTGATGTAGTTCATCTTGTAGTGATAGGTCAAGAGGATTCTTTCCTTCAGGATCAAAAAGATGCGCTCGGCCACATCTTCATCTGCTGGTTTTTTGGGATTCCTGCGGAATCGCTCTGTGATTTTCTAAAGAAGTGTTGGGGTGTGGAGACAGGGAAGATAAAGGGTGATCAAGTGAGGCCAGAACAGAATTCTCAGCCAAACAAAGTAATATGAGACTGAGAGTTGATTTGGGCACCCGTGATGCAACTAGAAGTGCACGTAGCATGTATTTTGGCCCTGACAGTAGTGAGTTCAGAACAGCCTTTACTTGTGGACAACTGAACACTCTAGGGGAGTGATATGGCAGCCATGAACACCATGGTGCCCGCCAATGGGATTTCTTGGTGCCCATTCACTTCTTCCCCAAGTCATTTCTCAAAGGAAAGAGCCAGTTCCAGCTTTCCCCCATCTCCTTGCAGCAGAAGGTGCTTCAGAATTGCTTAGGACGCATCACCTTTGTGTCTCTGGGGAACTCAATTGCCTCCACTGTAGGATGATGCTTGGGCTTGCAACCTCCCCATATTTTGTGATTGGCTCTGGGCCATATGGGGGCCACTTTCCATCCCGCATCGTCCTCCCACCTCCACAAGGGATTCCAGATGTATGTTGTTATGTATTGGGACTGAAACATTCCAGGACTGTTCTACCTGAGACTGGCTGAGCTTGGAGCCCAAGAACAATAGCCCACCAGGACTCTGGAAGTAACCAATCAAGAAGTAACATTATGTAAATAGCCTATTGTTGGGAGCGGGGTGTGTTTGGGTGTGGCAATCGCATGCTATTTAAACAGGGCTGTGGCCTTCAAGTTTAGTCTTATTCTTACTGAAATCACTAATAAAGTAGAGCTGATCACGAGACTTGGGGTCTGCTCATCCATGGAACCCACTATTTAACATATGTTTATCTCAAACATGCATCCAGAACCCTGCAAATGGGAAAATCCACTTATGGGGAAGGATTTGTTGGAAGAACCAGATGCGATGTCCTTGTGCCTCAGCCTCCAAGAAGCAAGTGACCAGAGAGTTATAGCTAGATAGGCAGACACTAAGCATCTCCCTGTTTACTCTTCTGTCACTGAACCCTTGGATGTGCACATTGCTATTCTTAGGGAAACTAAATTTCTTCTTCTCTCTCTTCCCCAACGAATACAAAGAGGGAGGACACGTTTCTCCTTCTTTGATACCATGAATGCAGAGTGCCTCTCTGCATCTGCATCCATCACTAGCTAGATAGAACAGAATCTGTTACTGTCTCTGCACTTCGCTATCCAGTATATATTTCCAAAATAAAGTAGTTCTTATATCTTTTAAACTGATAAGTGGCTCTGTGTAACTTTGTAGTCTTATAAGCACATGGTGAACTAAGGAACTCTGCTGCATTCTGAGCCTAGCGCACTTTGCAACTTAGCAAGGGGTCTGGGTTAACACACCAGCTCTCCCAACAGGACTCAGGACTGTCTCCCCCACTGCTGATGCTTCACTCCAGATCGCTCGAATCCCTTTGCTTCTTTCCCGTGGCGGAACAGGTGCTCTTTATTACATCATCCATGGAACCCACTATTTAACATATGTTTATCTCAAACATGCATCCAGAACCCTGCAAATGGGAAAATCCACTTATGGGGAAGGATTTGTTGGAAGAACCAGATGCGATGTCCTTGTGCCTCAGCCTCCAAGAAGCAAGTGACCAGAGAGTTATAGCTAGATAGGCAGACACTAAGCATCTCCCTGTTTACTCTTCTGTCACTGAACCCTTGGATGTGCACATTGCTATTCTTAGGGAAACTAAATTTCTTCTTCTCTCTCTTCCCCAACGAATACAAAGAGGGAGGACACGTTTCTCCTTCTTTGATACCATGAATGCAGAGTGCCTCTCTGCATCTGCATCCATCACTAGCTAGATAGAACAGAATCTGTTACTGTCTCTGCACTTCGCTATCCAGTATATATTTCCAAAATAAAGTAGTTCTTATATCTTTTAAACTGATAAGTGGCTCTGTGTAACTTTGTAGTCTTATAAGCACATGGTGAACTAAGGAACTCTGCTGCGTTCTGAGCCTAGCCACTACCTTTGCAACTTAGCAAGGGGTCTGGGTTAACACACCAGCTCTCCCAACAGGACTCAGGACTGTCTCCCCCGCTGCTGATGCTTCACTCCAGATCGCTCGCCTCCCTGTGCTTCTTTCCCATGGCGGAACAGGTGCTCTTTATTACGCACATTCTTGTGTGATGTTGATTCAAGCCTTAAGGTGCCCTCTCGTTTGGTCAAATGGCTTCTTTCAGCAGAAGGTGAATCTAGGTAGCAACGCTTAATGCAAACCAGCATTATTTATTTTATTGACTTCATTTATACCCCACCGTTCTCCCAAAAAGGACCCAAAACGGCTTTACATTGTTCTCCATTCCTCCATTTTATCCTTATAGCAACCCTGTGAGGCAGGTTAGGCCGAAAAGTATATGACTGGCTCAAGGTAAGCAGCCATAAGGAAAATAAGCTCTAAGTTTACGCTGGATCTCTTGGAAGTTGAACACAAGTACCAGAAATATACAAAAAGTTTAGTACCAGACCCAGAGCAATTCACATGCTCCTGACACCTCACGACCACAACAATTAATTTCAATAGGATGTTACTTACTTACCAGATTACAGTCCACCACTCTTAACCACAATGCCATGCTGGCTGTAATTGTTTTGTCTGTTGCAAAGGATTGATACCTAATAAGCTCTTGGGAAGGACAAAGTTTTGAACTGAGATCTTCTGACTTTGTAGCTCAGTCTCTTAACCAGAGTGTTAACTTACCAAAATTGGCCGAGCATTTGATTCTGTGTTGACCTGTGTGTTGTTGGGAGGTTTCTTTGCTCTTTTGCCAAATTCAGCATGTCGGTACCACAGGAAATCTGACCGCCCTTCAAAATATTCTGCCATGTCTGTGGGTGTCTCAACTCGTTTCTGAAGGCCGTCCACCCGCGTCTCGCTGTAAAACTCCATGGTGCGCTCCGTCTCAGGCTCCATCGTCTTGTAGGCGTGCACTGAGAAATCAGAGGGATGCCCTGGTGAAGTCTTGAGTTAGATGGGTGCTTGGCCAGTGCTCGCACAAATCTTGGAGAGTTGGAGGAGTCAACAAATAAAGGCCGATTTCCACAAAGCAGAGTTCACAGGGTATGAGGGGAGGAACTCCATCACAGTCTCCTCCTCTCTTCCTACATGCTTTATTCCAGCTACATGCTTTATACCATCAGACCATGGTATCTGTTATAATAACTGGGTGTATACCAAATTCTGCTACAGTTGGAGCAAGCCAGATTTTTGTCACTTTCAATAAGCTGTGTGCCTGGAGCTCTCTTAGGGTTGCCCTGTCTTAAGTTTGTCCTGGTGGGGGGTTAGAGTTTGACTGTGTTGGCATAGTTTGTACCACCCAATGCTTTGGGTGTGTAGTTTTTCATTGCTCCCAGGGTCTTCTGGTGCATGTGCAAAGTGCATGTGCCGCAATGACATCACCCAGAAGTGATGTCATTGCACCGGGCACATCGTTCATGGGACGCTCTAGCATTTGGGTAAAAAACTATGGTCACCATAGAGTTTTTACCCAAATGCTAGAGTGTCCATCGCACAACATGCCCAGTGTGATGACATCATCTCTGAGTGACATCACTGCACTGAGCACGTTGGGCACAACAGACTGGCGGATTGGGGGCCTTGAAAGTGGGGAAATCCCCACCCCCATCGGGGGTGTGTGGCAACCCTAAACACTCTGCTTGGAATTTGACTGATTAGCAGGCAGGCACAGGCCCAATTTGGATTGGGACCATGTGAATAGAAAGAGCCTCCTCTTTGCCCCGGTCATGAAATAGGCCTGGGGCTACGTTTATGTGTTGATGGCTACCCACAGATTTCCACCACAGGTTAAATGGTAGCTTCCTTGGGCCGTTTCAGGTTGGGGAAATGGTGTGTGAGGAAGGATTAAGTCCCTTCTCTCCTGGTGCCATGGTCCTCCTGAATCAGCTAGAGATGGGTGAGTAACTCAGGAGCCTCAACACACCCTTCTCCTTTAGCTATAATAATGAATTAGCATTTCTATGGTGCTGTTGTAACCGAACAAAAACAATCAGTGCAACCGGAGGGTATTTGGTCTGTTGCTGAAGATCACATTGTCACATGGTCTTCCACAACAGGAGAAACAGTCCTTCCCTGGGGTGGGGGTGGGGAAGACTAAATACCTTCCTGCTCCCACATCATGGTCCGGTCCAGAGTGGGAACAGAAGAATATTCACAAATCATGTATGGCTGTGGTCAAGTTCTCAGGTCAGTTCCAGGGCAAGAGAGCTTCAGAGTCACACACAGCACCCCCACCCCACCCATGGCCACTCCACCCCACTCATGGCCAACAGTAAAGGTGCCTTGAAGGGCTTTCATACCTTTGAGACCCTGCACGTGTCCAGGGGCAAAGTATTCTGTAGTCACTTCTGTCTGCTTATTCAGTTCTCTCCTCTCCATCATATCCTCTCGGTTCTTGAACCATTCCTTCACCTCCAGGACTTTGGAATCTGGTGGGCACAGGAAGGGGGGGGATCTTTAGTGTCAGTGGCTTAGTGCTAGATACAGATCATTCAAAACTGATTAGGAGAAGACCTGCTTTTGCCCAGTAAATAGTGCTGGGCTCCTGTTTCCAGGGATATTGCATTTTCCCACCATAGGATGCCTTTATATTTTACAATATACCTGAGGAAATGTGATACTTTCCCCTGAAGTATATTTCCTTAGTATATAAGTGGCCATACGAATGTCCTGGGCACCTTATTGGACAATGTATCTGACTCTGCCACCATTAAGGATGAGCAACACAATACCCCATTCCCATCCCAAGCCTAATATCTACGTTTTTCAGTGCGTCTGTGATTCCCACGTTACAACTGATCCTGAAGGGGGATTAAAAAATGTAAAACATTTCCCCCTTGAGTCACTTCATACTTCTACAATAAGTAGTATGCATTATTGCTCTAAAGCATGGTTTAACATAAGGGCATTGGAGTCAGCTAGTCTCTCTCCCCCACCCCCATTGATAGGAGGACAATGAAAAACTACACACCCAAAGCATTGGGTGGTACAAACTATGCCAACACAGTCAAACTCTAACAACAAAGTAGTTATCTTATGTGGTTTTCAGCAATAAAAATATTGAGGGGTTAACCATTCAATATTTTTAAATACACACCTTCAGGAGATTCAGAATAAAGGAAAAAATGCACACATAAAAAGGGTCATTGGGAATTAACATTAGGAGACCCCAGGTAGTATACCTGTGTACTTGTACCCTTAAGCAATTTAAAAAATTGATAATGTTATTTAGTATTTTTACATTCAGTTGTGTTTACTGTCAAATAAATCCCATATTTTTAATAACTATGACTAATCTGGGGGTCAGCTTGACTCCGATACCTGATTAATAAAGTACTTTTCCAAGAAAAAATGGGTTTAAAGGGCTTAAGGGCCATGAACCACCACTGCTATGCAACATCTGCATTGCTGGGATCTAATGCTAGTTGCCTTTGCCCCTTAATTTTACTTTTGTTATGGTTGCCTGGGGTCCAAAAAGCAAATTTAGGCACATCCACAGAGTTCTGAGTGTCATGTGCATGGGAAAGCCACACGAGAGTAGCAAGGGTGTTTTTAAGCATCATGCGTGGTGACACTGGTGGCTTCCACATGGAAAGGAATCCCCCTTTTGCTTTCATCACTGCAGCAAGTGCAGAGGCATTCGAAGTAGCAATGGAGCCTCCACGCGGAGATGTTCTCCATGCTTTCCTCGCAAGTCTATCATTCCTCTTCCCCTTCTTGCTGATAGTTGGTAGCAGTTTTGTTACAATACCCATATAACTGTCAGCGATCTCTTCAATAAGTCCACTGGTGGGGAGGGGGGATGGCAGGAATGAGGGGACATGGAGAGGAAATATTACTGGAGGTGGGTGGGGTTATGATGACCTTTAAAGCCCTTCGCTGTGTCCGGTCCAGAGTGGGAACAGAAGAATATCCACAAATCATGTATGGCTGTGGTCAGGTTCTCAGGTCAGTTCCAGGGCAGGAGAGCTTCAGAGTCACACACAGAACCTCCACCCCACCATATCTGAAGGACTGTCTCCTCCCATACATTCCCCTGTGCCAGATGTGGTCTTCAGGCTGCCACCTGCCAGCTGTTCCCCCACTCAGGATGGTCCACCTGGTATCAGCCAGAGTCCAGACCTTTTTTTAAAAAATCACAGCCCCCCGACCACTTTGGAATGGGGTCCCCGAAGAGGTGAGGGGAGCTCCCTCCCTGGAGGTCTTCAAGAGGCACAGCAAGCCTTATTTGTCTGCCAGGGCTTTCGATGGGGTATGAAGTGCAGGCATCTTTAAGTGGGGAGGATGTATTTGGGGGTTCTACCTGGCTTTAATCTCTAACATTTCAACAGCTCCTTGTAAATCACCTTGTAAATCACCTTGAGCCAAGAGAACAGGTGGGGTATAGATGTTAAACTAAATAACTCGGCATCCCCCAACCACACTGCAGCCCAACCTGCTTCTGAGTACCTCTTCATGGAAAAGATCAAATGAAAGCAGGTTTGGGAAAATGCTCTGTGAAGCACGAGGAAATCTGGGTGATAATGCCATATGAAACTAAAAGAAAAAGCTGAAGTTTGGGGTGGAAAGTAGAGCTAAGAGTTCCAATGGAAGTAGCCACTGTTTGTCTTGCTCAGAGGGCCCAACGTGTCTCATCACGGCGCTTACAATCTGGATCCTCATAGAGAGTGAGGCGGCTGATCAGCCCGTTGTTGTTCAGGTAAGGTGCCCATTTCTCCAACTTGGCGTTCCTGTACAAAATCTCCTTCTTGCCTTGGGGACACCGCATCTCAAATTCTGTGGACCAGAAACAGAAACAAGGTCACTGTTCACTGGGTACAGAGCTTTTGGTAACTGTACAAAATACTCTGCTAACTTGGATTTCTCATCTTCTCAAGTTAAAATGAACATAGACAGGGAGCTGCCTTATACTGCATCAGACCCACAGGTCCATCCAGGTCAGTCTTGTCTACTCTGATTGACAGCATCTCTCTAGGGTCTCAGGCAGAGGTATTTCACGTCACCTGCTACCAGGTCCTTTTAACTGGAAATGCTGTACCACTGAGCCCTGACCCTGCTATTCCAGCTTTGTCAAACAGTGTTTTCAGTGGTGTTTTATCATATATATCACACAAGTTCACATGCATATATACACTCCCCTTCTGGTTTTCCTATATCTCCTGTTTATGCAAGGCTCCCTCCCTATTAGCTTCCAAAGAAGATATTGATCCACTCATTCCAAAACACACACACACACACAAACTGGCTCGTTCTATTGTAATTAATGAGGAAGCTGTTCCAAAGGGATGTGAAGAAGAGTTCCACACATCTAAGAGCCAGCCTGCTCTGCGGCACCACCCCTGCAAATGGCCAATGGGGGTACTGCAGTTTCTCATTCAGCAGGCAGGGCTTGCAATGGGAAGGTGCATGATACAGCAACACCAGTGAAGCTGACAAGCCTCTGCATGGGAGACCTCCAAACCTCCAGAAAGATGGGATGTGAATGCAGTAATAAATCAATGTTGGCATAGCAGAGATGGCCAAATATCCTACCTCTGCAAATGGCCAAGGGGGGTACTGCAGTTTCTCATTCAGCAGGCAGGGCTTGCAATGGGAAGGTGACAAGTCTCTGCATGGGAGACCTCTAAACCTCCAGAAAGATGGGATTTGAATACAGTAATAAATCAATGTTGGCATAGCAGAGATGGCCAAATATCCCAGTTATTTAAAAAACACACACCATCAAAGATAAACCCCCCAAACTATACCCTTTCCCTTTCTTTCTTCCCAGCAGGTCTTGCCAAAGCTGTTTCTGCCACTGCTTTTTCTCTACTTGCTAAGAGTCTATCACTCACCCTGATTTCTCCTTCTCCATCCGGAAGGCACTATCATGGTAACTTCCCAGAGAAGACTGCTGCTAGCCTGCTCTCTGGCACCACCCCTGCAAATGGCCAACAGTGGTATTGCAGTTTCTCATTTAGCAACTTCCCCTTGCCAGCTCCCCCTTCTGCCCCCTTTCTGGGCTGGCCTAGTGCCTCTTTCCTTCTGCAGTCAACAAGCCCTGAGGATTCCACTTTCCTTGCAGCCCAAGGAGATCTCCCTCGACACCCGAGCTCCAGGACTTAGTACAGAATACAGAGAGGACAACAAAATCTCAGTTACACATTTTTGTTTAAATTGTCCAGTACTACACCTGAAACATGTGGCTCCTGATTCACAGGTTGGCCACTCTGTAACACATTCAAATTGAGGGGAAAAAGAAATACCTTTTGGAGTTATTCTGATCGGTTCAACCCAAGATGCTGGCATGTCAAAGGCCTTGGATTCCTCTTCCTTCATCTGTTGAGACCCAGAGAGATGACACATTAGGACCCTAAGAGCTGCTGCTCTGCCTGTATCAGCCAATATGACTTTTGCTCTCTGACTCCGAAAAACACTCTCTGAACAATGGCCTTTACTGTTGCTTCCCTGAAGGTCAAACAATGTAACGCAAGATGGCTTGTGCAGTTTTGAACCCACACTGGGATTCCGCGTGAGATTATTTCTCTGCCTTCAAAAAGCCTAAAATGGTTTAGTACCTTCCCAAAAGGAACCCTTCTTCCCGTTTTTCATCAGTGGGGCAGGTGGCTGGATCTACGCCACAAGTGTAATGCATACGACTTAGGGAGAGGACATCCACACATTTCTTTTGGCTAGAACTCTGCTTCTGCACAAACTGCAGGTTGAGGATAACCACTGGGACAATCACAAGGAAATTCCGCACGAGATTATTTCTCTGCCTTCAACAAGCCTAAAATGGTTTAGTACCTTCCCAAAAGGAACCCTTCTTCCCATTTTTCATCAGTGGGACAGGTGGCTGGATCTACACCACAAGTGTAATGCATACGACTTGTGGAGAGGACATCCACACATTTCTTTTGGCTAGAACTCTGCTTCTGCACAACTGCAGGTCGAGGATAACCACAGGGACAATCACAAGGAAGGAGAGGGGCCATGCCTCAGTGGCAGAGCATCTGTGGGGCATGCAAAAGGTCCTGGGTGTTCGGTCTCCAGAATCTTCAGCTAAGGAGATGTGGAAGACTTCCGCCTGAGACCCTGGAGAGCTGCTGCCAGTCTGAGTAAACAAGACTGACCTTGATGGACTGGTTGTCTGATTCAGTACAATGCTGCTCCACATGTCCAAGAAAAGGGGACTTACCAAGTCTTCAATTTCATCTTCACCTTCTTCCTCCTCCTCTATTTCTGGCAGTGACAGGAGAGGTTTGTCGGTGCCCAGTAGCATAAACTCCCACCGGACTGGGTCACCAAGGTCAAACTCGAGATCCTACAAGGCATCACCCAGGAAGAGAACCAGGTTAACATTCAAAGACATGGATCAAGGGGTGGAGACCATTGCAAATGTCCTGCAAGTTCATTTCATCTGAAGATCCTCATGTCAGTCTTCAATTTCATCTTCACCTTCTTCCTCCTCCTCTATTTCTGGCAGTGACAGGAGAGGTTTGTCCGTGCCCAGCAGCATAAACTCCCACCGGACTGGGTCACCAAGGTCAAACTCGAGATCCTACAAGGCATCACCCAGGAAGAGAACCAGATCAACATTCGAAGACACGGATCAGGGGGTGGAGACCATTGCAAATGCCCTGCAAGTTCATTTCATCTGAAGAACCTCATGTTGACAGTACCCCTAGAGGCTACCTCACTCTGGCCACAGGTAAGAGGAGAGCACACGCGCTCTCTTCAAAGACTCCTGAAATTAACTCGGGTCTTGCAGAAGTGAGTCACCCCCCTGTCTACCTGCCCCTCTTCTCCCTTCAATCTCAGGGTGCCATACATGATTCTCCTCTCCTCCATTTCCCCTTTGGAATGATGAGAGAGAGAGAGGCCCAAGGTAATCCAATAAGTGGGGATTTGAACCTGTGACCGATTCCCCACAAGCAGCTATGCTGCCCTCGCTCTTCTGTTTCCCCTGCTTGCAGTGGTCAATTTCACACTATTCGCTGCATGGGCGCATTTTGACCCGCATTCCCCCCCAATTTCCCCCACGTCTTCTCCATCTCAAAAAAACAAGGACCGAGAAGATGTGGGAGAAATCGGGGGAGGGGGAGCTGTGGTACAAAATGCGTCCGTGCAGCAAATAGTGTGAAATTGACCTATGCAAGCAGGGGAAACAGAAGAGCGAGGGTGGCACAGATGCTTGTGGGGAATCGGACTGTCTTCCAAGTCCTAGCTTGATGCTCTATCTGCTGTATCACCCTGGCTCCCTCTACTCTGCCCGTCCCTGCCTTGGTGTCCATTTAAGAGAGCTACCAACCCTGCTCCTCTTCTTCCCTCACCTTCTCTCTCAGTCTCCTTCTCTTCCCCCTTTCACCCCTTCAGCTCCCTCAATTCCAATCCAACAATTATGGGAAGGAGGCAAGGAGGACTGTCCCCATTTGCCTCTTTGTCAGCCACACAGGAGCTGCACTTTGCGATGTTCACAGGCTCAAGATTGGCCGGCCCTGGTTCAAAACAGCTCAGCAACCACAGCAGAGAAAGACTGCCAGGAGAAGTGCGTGGTGAAAAGGGTTATTCTGGAGATTTCCCCAAACTCTACATCTACATTTCCTGAAGACAAAACTGATGCACGCAGATGCATAACAGATCAAACATCTATGGCCATTTGTAGCATGCAAACTGCAAGCTAATGCTGCCCCGATTTGCATTGGGGCCATGCAGGAAAGGGAAGAGGGGGTTTAACCATTCAAGCTCTACTCAGTTTTGCTATTCAAAAATCTGATCCCCTGCTGTGCTAGTGTGCTGTTAGCATTTTAAATGAAAAACAAGGACATCCTTTAAAAAATATACCTCCCCCCCCTTTTTTGAATTTGTGTGTGTGCGTGCGCTTGCATGCCTGGAAGCCATGGTGACTTCCGGTGACCCCTACTGGGGACTTGGACATTTTTGAGAGAGGTGGCTTGATAGTCTGCCTCTGCGTCCCAGGCCCTGGTATTCCTTGAAGGTCTCCCTTTCAGTTACTTGTCAGGGCTGGCCCTGCTTAGCTTCCGAGGTCTGATTAGATCAGGGTTGCCTGGGCCGTCCAGGTCAGGGCCTCTTCCCTCCTTTTAAAAGTTTAACAGCAGTGTGGCAGAACCATTTGTGTGTATGCCTGGAAGTCATGATTGACTTCTGACGACCCCTAGTGAAGCCTGGACATGTCAGAGGTGGCTTACTATTGCCTGCCTCTGCGTCCCAGTATGTGGTCTCCCTTCCAAGCACTTGTCAGGGTTGGCCCTGCTTAGCTTCTGAGCTCTGACGAGACTGGGCTTGCCTGGGTTGTCCAGGTCAGGGGACAGAGCCAGTTTTGATTAGCAAAGCCAAGCGGAGACTGAAGGGTTAAACCGCTTCTCCCGTCCTTGCATGACCCCAATGCAAATTGGAGCTGCATGAGCCTGCAGTTTGCACCTATCAGACGGCCAGAGGGCCCCTAGACAGGGAAAGTAATCCTTGAATTAGGTAAAAGGCCCCTTGTGAGTTCCCATTTGTCAGCGGGACCCAGCCTGCATAACGTAATCTGGGGCTGTCATGCACACTGTGAAGAAAGGGGATGGAAATGAGTTCTTCCACACTATGCACACTAGACCTAGTCAGACATTTCCCCATCCATCCATCCATCCATCCATCCATCCACAGGGAGTACCTTGCAGGCATTCCAGCAGTCCTGCATGTTGACCCAGTAGTTCCGGTGGTTCCAGACACTTTCAATGCCGAGGAAGTGGTCATCCTTGGTGTCGTAGTTTTTTCCTGTGAAAGGGTCAATGTAGAAGCTCTCTGGCACCTCGCGCTTGCCTGAAAGGACCAGAACCCAGGCATGGACCCGCAGGCCATACAGAGGGTCTGGCTTGGGCTTCTCTGCCTCCTGCAGCACAGAGAAAGACAGGGGCAAAAGGTCTGTGTCTGAAATACAGCTGCGACTGCTTGCTCCTTCCAAGGGTCTCTCATTGCTAGGGACAAACAACGACCAACAAAACCTCATATTCAAACTACGGATCTAACTGTTATCCCGTAAGAACAAACCGATAAAAAGCAATGCTTAATTCTTGTAGCTGTTTACAACATCCAGTGCAAAACAAATACTTTAATTTACAGTGTCCAGTTTCAGTTTTGGGGCTGGAAAAAATTCAAAATTTAGGTGAGAAAGATATTTTCCTGGCAAACATTCTCATCGCACAGTCCTGTGCAGAATGACACCTAAACCAACTCACTGATATTACTGGGCTTAGACTGCAGTACCTCTCCATAGGATTCCACGATCAGTCACCTTTTCCCCATTAATGGTAGATGCCATTCTCCCCTGTCATGTCTACCTCCTTTCTGGATGGGTTACCTGACTGATTCCTAGCCAATCAGGGATCACATGGTAAACCCAATAATGTTGCAGCGCTAGGCAACCAACCAGAGTTGCCCGCATGATGACATCACTGGGGCAAATAAACGCTTCCTGGATTAGTCCCAATGGTAACTGCATCCAGTCAGGTATTGCATGGCGCATGTGATGATGTCACAATGCCATATAGCCAATCAGGCTTGACTAAATGATGACATCACTGAAAACAGGGGCAGGAAATTTAGAGCGAGAGGCAAAAGGAACTGGCCATCGTTCTCACAAAGAATGCTGAGCGGTCCTTCAAAAAGGGCAGCTTTCTGGAACACTGTTTAGGTTTCGCCCCCGCTTTTATTGGAATGCCTCAATTTCTGTGAGGACGGCAAAGGAGCCAGTGTGGTGCAGTGACTGGACTAGGAACTGGAAGACCCAGATCCCCACTCTGCCCTGGAAGCTTGCTGGGGGATCTTGAGCCAGTCGCACTTGCTCAGCCTAACTTACCTCACAGGGCTGTTGTGAGGATAACATGGAGGAGAGGAGAATGATGCAAGCCTCTTTTGGTCCCCACTGGGGTATAAATGAAGCAAACAATGACAACAGCATATATTAATAAATAAATAAAGGCGAATGAGTGAGCGCTTCCTCACCGCGGTCTTTTCTTCCTCTTCTTTCCGCTTCTTCTCCTCAGCCGCCTGCTCTTTCGCTACCTCCTTGGCTTCCTGCTGCAGCTCGAATTTGCTCCGCAGGTCCCGCAGAGGCTTGACAGCATACTTCTTGGGCTTCTCTTTTACGGCTTCCACCTGGACCTGTAACCAGAAGGCAAAAGCAAAGCCGGTTCCACCATGCCTCAAAGGCACAGCAATGAACATGCCTGCTATGTGTTGTGCTGAACTGCTGTCACAGAGGCTCTAGCGGTATTTGGTTCAGCGGCAGCTGGTGATGCCTAGCTGATGGCCTTGGCTGATGCTTGTTTAGAAAGAATGGGGTAGCCTCGTTTAGTTAAAACTTTTATGAGTCACCTTTCTTCTGTATGGAGCTCAAGGCGGCTTACAATATAAGTATAACACATAAAAACCCCAAATTTAAAATCACACTTTAGGACTGCCAGTAAATTAATCAAATGTGGTCCTAAATAAAACCATCCTCAACTGCCTCCTAAAGATCAAAAGTGAGGGGCCAGGTGCACCACCCTGGGGAGATTGTTCCATAATCATGGGGCTGCCCCTGAGAAGGCCCTGCCTTATGTATCGACCAAACAAGCTTCTCTGATTGGTGGGACAGTCAGGAGGGCATCTCCCTGTGATATTAATTCCCGGACAGGAAGTCATGGAAGAAGATGGTCTTTCAGATACCTCCGTTCCAAGCCATGTAGAGCTTTAAAGGTCAGAAACAACACTTTGAATTGGGTTTGGGCGTGGAACCTGTGTAATCAGTGTAATATCGGGGTCACATGCTCCCGATAGCTGGCCCTGACCAGCAGTCTAGCTGCTGTGTTCTGCACTGGCTGCAGCTTCCGAACACTCTTCGAGGGTTGCCTCAGTTAGAGTGCATTGCAATACTCCAGTCTAGACGTAATTAAGGCACAGGTCACCATGGCTAGATCTGACTGAGCCAGGAATGGACTCGGCTGATCCGCCAGCCGAAGCTGGGCAAAAGCACTCCAAGCCACTGCAGCTGCAAGCAGCACTCCCGACCTGTGAACTTGGCTTTGTGTCTTCGGAACCCCTGCCCCCTTGAGGCTCACCTGGCACCTACTTCACTTCCTTTTAGGTGCCAGGCTAAAATACACCTTTTTACCCAGGCTTTAAATGAGGGGATTTATCTTATCAGCTTCTGTATTTTTCATGTGTGCATGTGTGAGTGTGTGTGCACCTGGAAGTCATGGCGGCCGGACCCTACTAGGGATCTGGAGGATATTCAGAGAGGTGGCTGAATAAAGCCTGCCCCCGCCTCCCGACTGCTGGTATTCCAAGGAGGTCTCCCATCCAAGCACTTGCCAAAGTCGACCCTGCTTAGCTTCCGAGATCTGATGGGATCGGGCTTGCCTGGGCTATCCAGGTCAGGGCTGCCTTATCAGCTTTTTAATTCTCCTCTTCTGTTTCATGAAGAGCTTTTAGGCTGCTTGTGTTCTAACGGATTGTGTTTTCATATTGTAGTTTTTAATCATAAACTGCCTCGAGCAGCACTCTGAGAAGGAGGCATAGGAATATTCTACATAAACAGACGAATAACAAAGAGTGAGGAAGAGAGAGTGTTGGATCCCCAAGCATCGAGAACCCAATAATGTTGCAGCGCTAGGCAACCAACCAGAGTTGCCCGCATGATGACATCACTGAGGCAAATAAACGCTTCCTGGATTAGTCCCAACGGTAACTGCATCCAGTCAGGTATTGCATGGCACATGTGATGATGTCACAATGCCATATAGCCAATCAGGCTTGACTAAATGATGACATCACTGAAAACAGGGGCAGGAAATTTAGAGCGAGAGGCAAAAGGAACTGGCCATCGTTCTCACAAAGAATGCTGAGCGGTCCTTCAAAAAGGGCAGCTTTCTGGAACACTGTTTAGGTTTCGCCCCCGCTTTTATTGGAATGCCTCAATTTCTGTGAGGACGGCAAAGGAACCAATGTGGTGCAGTGACTGGACTAGGAACTGGAAGACCCAGATCCCCACTCTGCCCTGGAAGCTTGCTGGGGGATCTTGAGCCAGTCGCACACGCTCAGCCTAACTTACCTCACAGGGCTGTTGTGAGGATAACATGGAGGAATGATGCAAGCCTCTTTTGGTCCCCACTGGGGTATAAATGAAGCAAACAATGACAACAGCATATATTAATAAATAAATAAAGGCGAATGAGTGAGCGCTTCCTCACCGCGGTCTTTTCTTCCTCTTCTTTCCGCTTCTTCTCCTCAGCCGCCTGCTCTTTCGCTACCTCCTTGGCTTCCTGCTGCAGCTCGAATTTGCTCCGCAGGTCCCGCAGAGGCTTGACAGCATACTTCTTGGGCTTCTCTTTTACGGCTTCCACCTGGACCTGTAACCAGAAGGCAAAAGCAAAGCTGGTTCCACCATTTCTCAAAGGCACCGCAATGAACATGCCTGCTATGTGCTGTGCTGAACTGCTGTCACAGAGGCTCTGGCGGTATTTGGTTCAGCGGCGGATATTCAGAGAGGTGGCTGGATAAAGCCTGCCCCCGCCTCCCGACTGCTGGTATTCCAAGTACTTGCCAAAGTCAACCCTGCTTAGCTTCCGAGATCTGATGGGATCGGGCTTGCCTGGGCTATCCAGGTCAGGGCTGCCTTATCAGCTTTTTAATTCTCTTCTTTTGTTTCATGAAGAGCTTTTAGGCTGCTTGTGTTCTAACGGATTGTGTTTTCATATTGTAGTTTTTAATTATAAACTGCCTCGAGCAGCACTCTGAGAAGGAGGCATAGGAATATTCTACATAAACAGAAGAATAACAAAGAGTGAGGAAGAGAGAGGCGGACTGGAGGAAAAATCCCTCCCTCAGATCTGAGTGAACCGTATGGACCCAACCTCTCAGAGGGGAAGGGAGGAGAGCTGCTAGGAACTTCCACTATCCTGGAAGGAGAAGCGACGTTAGGAGCAGGGGGATCCATCCCCAGCCCTCGTGCAGCCATGGGAGGGGGGGGCAGAGAGAGGTAAACACAGATTGGGCTGCCAACCTCCAGGTGGGGCCTGCAGTTCTCCTGGAATTACAGCTGATCTCCAGATGACTAAAGAGACCAGTCTCCCTGGATGAAATGGCAGCCTCAGCAAGCAGAATCTATGGCATCACAACCTTGCTGAGCTCTTTAAAGGTAAAGGTAAAGGTTCCCTTGCTCGAAAGCCAGTCAAATCTGACTCTAGGGTTGCGGTGCTCATCTCCGTTTCAAAGCCCAAGAGCCAGCGCTGTCCGAAGACATTTCCGTGGTCATGTGGCCGGCATGACTAAACACCAAGGTGCACGGAACGCTGTTACCTTCCCACCGAAGTGGTACCTATTTATCTACTTGCAATTTCTTGCTTTCAAACTGCTAGGTTGGCAGGAGCTGGAACTAGAGACGGGAGCTCACTCCGTCATGCAGCACACTCGGGTCTCGAACTGCTGAACTACCGACCTTCCACAGCCTGCAGTTCAGCGTCTTAACCACTTGAGCCACCGCAGCTGAGCTCTTTACCCTCCCCCCCAAAAAACTCCATCCTCGCCAGGCGCTACCCCCCAAATCTCCAGGAATTTCCCGAGCCAGAGTCAGCATGGGTATGTGTCCACCCAGTACTGTGCTATTCAGTTTCCGGGCTAGAAGACCAGTTTCTTGTTCACTTCAACAGTCAACGCTAGAACGCCAATGAGTCCCAGCAGAAGGCTGCTGAGGCCTGGTGAGTGGGAAGCGCTTCGTCCGCCTCAGAGCCCAGCAGCATCTGGTGGTGGCAAATCTTCTCAGTCAATTACGCCCCCCCCCTAAACACACAGACAGAGAATTCCTTGTGGACACCACACAGTAATGCTCTTGGGCCGCAGCCATGAGGCAATAATGACATAACTATGGGGATGAAGAGTTTGAGGGGAGTTGTGCAGAGTGGCCCATAGGAACCCTTTCCCCTCAGGCCAGAGACCACGCCTAAGCTGAGAATGAGCTGCAAATAAGACGGTAGCTCTCCTGCAGATGCTTTCATAAAATACTGGCATCATTCGAACAACAAAATGTAAACACTGTGCATTGGAGTCAGTCACGGGTGGCAACTATCCATTCCACTACTGGTCTTTAGCATCTGTGTTACTCTTTTGGAGGGGAAAAACAGGCCCTTGCTGCCCTCTAGTGGACCAGTCTATCATCTGCTGAGAACGTAGCGGTACGGGGTAGAGAAGTTTTCCCTGAGGTCCAAGGGTAGGAAAGCCCTTGAAGTGTGGCCATCCAAAACCCTTCCACCCAGTTTTTTGTTCCAGTTCTAAGCCCTCAGCTCTCACCTCTTCTGCTCTTTGCGACAGCGGGCACGCCTCCCTGGTCTCATCCATCATGCATATCTCCCGGGTGGCATAGCCATTCACACAGTAGGCATCGTAGCCCGCACCGATCAGCAGAGAGCACAGGAGGTTGCTGAAGTCAAAGCAGTTCCCTCTCTGGTACCGCAGAATTGTGGTCGGGGAGTACAGGTAACTGGGCTGCACAGAGAAAAGACAAACAATACAGTTCAATTCATCTTCTCCCCCCCCCAGCCTCCTGAATCCTCCCCAAATTCCATTTGCAGAGAAAGAATAAAGGGATCTGAATGTTCAGACTATTGTTGCCAGCCTCCAGGGGAGGCCTGGTGATCTCCGGGAATCACAACTTGTCTCCAGACTACAGAGATCAGTTCCATGGAGAAAATGGCTGGGTTGGAGGGAGGGCTCCACAGCGTTGTATCCCACTGAGATCCTTCCCCAGGCTCCACCCCAAATCCACAGGAATTTCCCAACCCAGAGTTGGCAACCCTATTTAGAACAGTCATGTGGCATAAGACCAGTGGCCTGTCTCCAGTGTGCCCTCTCAGCCGAGTCAGTGTGAGCCAGCTCACAGTTTTTTCCCTTTGGGCTCACACATTTTCGTCTTAGCACAGGAAGGATGGCTCCAGAGCAAACTGATTTATGCAGTAGCCAAATCGCTCGCTCACAGCTTTAATGCCAGTAGCTCACCAAGTAGAAATTTTTGTTCACAAGACTCCACAGCTTAGAGGGAGCATTGTGGCCATCTCTCACACTACCCTGTGTCCTGATAATGGCAAATAGACACGTTGGGTAAGAAAGAGAGAAAAGTATTATTATTTCCTAGCCCGCCTATTCCTCCTGGGAGCTCCAGAAGTCATGCCTGGCCCCCAGCAGTTTAGAGCGGGGATGGGGCTTCCCATTACATTGTCTGTTCTTCAGAAAATCTTTTCAAAGGATAGAATATTTGGGGGAGGCCAGGAAGCACCTTGAGTTTACTCAGGTTGAAAAAACAAACAAACAAAGGAATTTTGTTCTCAATAAGCGGGGTTTTTTTTTGGGGGGGGTGTTGTTTTGTTTCTGTCAGTTTAATTCAGATTTTTGTAGTTCCCTCCAAGATCTGCAAGATGATAAAGTGCTCTTCGTTCTGCCTCCTGAGACAGGAGAAGAAAAAAATTCTATCCTTTCCCAACAGCCACCCTGGAACTAAGCAGAAAAGAACTTCACCTTTGTTTTCTGAAGAAAAAGGCAGCGATTAGGGGGCTTGTGGGGTGCACAGTGTTTCACAGCAGGCCATCTTAGAAGAAGCATCCCCTCCCAAATGTGACAGAAGACAGCATCTGCCATTCAATGCTCCCTCTAAGCTGTGGAGTCTTGTGAGCAAAAATTCTACTTTGTGAGCTACTGGCATTAAAGTGGTGAGTTTGCTCTGGAGCTATCCTGCCTAAGCTAAGACAAAATTATGTGAGCTGGAAGCTAAAAAATGGTGAGCTAACTCACACTAACTCAGCTTAGAGGGAACACTGCTGCCACTGATGGGTTTTTTTTGTAAATGAAGTATTTAAAAAATCCACCCTATCAGTGAAAGAGCTGCTAGTGGACTCATCAGCTAAACGTTAGTACCCTTTTTAGTTCAACATACATAGATTTGCATGGAGGATAAAGACTATTTGGTTCTAAGATTTTCTTCACAAAATTAGCAAAAGCCCACAGGTTTTTATTTGAACAGAGGACACTGCCTTACCCTGTGTCAGACCTTCAGCGTATCAAGGTCAGCACTGGCTATTCAGACTGGCAGAGACATGCCGGGGTCTCCTCAAGAGGAAGTCTTTCCTGGCCCACCACCTCCTACCTGATCCTTTTAACTGGAGAGGCCAAAGACTGGACTTCAGACCTTCTGTATGCAAAGCAGAGGTTCTGCCATTGCCTTCCCCCTTACAGCCAAATAACACATTTGCTTTTTAAAACAAGCTAGGGGGGAATGGCTATTAAAGAATAAAGCAGAGCCTTTGGGGGTTCAGAATGCCACTGCGGGGGGAGGAAGGGCTCCTGCTACCCTCCCAGGCCTTTTTCCATGGCAAAACAGCACAGCGGATGGGGGAGTTACTTCGTCAATTTTGCCACTCCACGTGCACAGAATATCCTATGCGGAACAGCAAAAGCAGGGAAATAAGTCCCCCAGCACTGTGTCAGTGCAGGAAAAAGGTGGAGAGGAGGAACAGAAGCCCCCCCCCCACCGAAGTTCTGAGCCCAAATGGACTCTGCTTTATTTTTTAGATAGCCATTCCCTGCTACTACTGTGCGACTGCGGGGAACCTGGGCCCAAATCCAACTCTTTAAAAAGAAAAAAAAAACCTAACACCTAGTTGGGCCTTACAGAAGCCCCTGAAAGAGGGATACAGGAAGGAGCTGCAGAAGGCCCCACATCTTACCGGTGCAATCGGAGACGGGAGGGGCTCCATCGTTAGATAGTCTGACACAAAATGGGCACAGCTATCCCAGTCATACAGCTCGGAGTAGGGGAGCAGGGTAGGGCGTACCGTAGTGCTCACAAATTTCTGCAAGAAAATGGTGTTGGGTGACTGGGTGTGTTAAGGAAGGGCTTCAGCACAGACAGCTTTCGGCACAAAACAGTCTGCCAACATGGAAGGTGGCTGCAGTGGTCCATAGACAGAGAATCCAAACAACAACGGCAACTGGGGATGCCCCCTTCTCTTCTTGGCTCTCACTTTCTGTGCCTGCGAAGACAAGTTGAGGATGACCCCTTCTCTACTCAGCCAACTAGCGAGAAAGGTGGGGGGTCTCTGGTGGGCAGCAAACACAAGGATCTGGAGCCTTGCTGCGAAGAGCCACCCAGGACTTAGCAAGGGGCAAGGCTGGAATGCTGTGGAACCAAGCCAGAGGACAACGGAGATCCTTCCTGTGCCCAGAGCTGGGACTTAGATGCTTCAAAGAAATAGAGCAGTGCCCTCCCTCTGCAGGAGATCAGCGCTTGGGAGACCTCAAGCTGCCAGGTGTGCAGGCCTTGGCCTTTGCCTTTGGGCCTTCCTTTCTTCCTAGGGGAGACTCTGAGGTGGAAGGGTCCACTAAGGAGTTTCCTGGTCTGCCATTTCCATTGGCTCTTCTGTACTATGGTAGAGAAGGCAGGAGGTCTTCCCCTAGAGGCTCTGGGGCATAGGGAGCAACAGGTCTAGCAAGACTCATGGGAGGTAGACTTAGGGCTGCAAACCTACAGGTGGTAGCTGGAGATCTCTTTGGGATTATGACCAATCTCCAGGTGTCAGAGATCAGTTTACTTGGAGAAAATGGCTGCTTTGGAAGGTGGACTCCATGGTGTTATTATACCCCACTTAAGTCCCTCCCCTCCCCAAATCCTGCCCTCCTCAGGCTCCACCCACAAAATCTCCAAGTATTTCTCAACATGGAGCTGGCAAGTGGCGACCCTAGGTGGGCTCCTCAGCCTTTGGGGAGCCTTCCTTTTCCTTCAGGAAGTCTTTGAGCCAGTTTGGTGTAGTGGTTAAATGTGCGGACTCTAATCTGGGAGAACCGGGTTTGATTCCCCACTCCTCCACTTGCACCTGCTGGATGACCTTGGGCAAGCCATAGTTCTGGCACAGCTGTCCTTGAGAAAGAGCAGTTTCTGTCAGAGCTCTCTCAGCCCCACCTACCTCACAGGGTGTCTGTTGCGGAGAGGGGAAGGGAAAGGAGTTTGTAAGCTGCTCTGAGACTCTTTTGGGTAGGGAAGGGCGGGGTATAAATCCAATCTCCTCCTCCTTCTTCCTCCCAAGCTGAAGCTACTTCCAATTAAATCCTGTCCACAAACAAACTCCCTTGCACCATCCAAAGGCCCTCCACTTACTTCCACATTGCATTCATTCACAGGGTGCAGGAAAAGTGGCTCCCGGTCTGGGCAGAGGTGCGCGTACTGACGCCAGAAATTGTCGGCCACCTGCAGTAGCAACTGTTCCTTAGGTGAGTTTGTCCTGTAGGATTCTGGCAAATTGGAGGTGTCGATGGAACTCCAGTCAAACTCACTAGATCAATCAATCAATCAAAACCATGATTAGGCATGAATTACAATCATATATAAAACAGTAGAATAAGATTAAAAAGGGTCGGGGAATAAAATTAGCAAAAAATAGCCAGGCAAAGTGAAAGATATGTTATCTGGAATTTTTTCCCAGTTTCTTCCCATGACCTCGGGAAAGTTAAAAGAAACTTAGCAACTTGACTCGTGATAAAGGCCTTTTGATCAGATAAAAGATAGGAGTCGAGCCATTTGTCAGGTTGACCGATAAAGTTACGGATAAAGGGACTAATGAAAAGATCCCTCTGCTTGAAATGGCAATGATGGTAGAGAAGAACACAAGATATGGCTTCAGGGACTCTAGCCCAGCATGGGCAGAGCCTTTTGGCATAAGTTGTCTGTGAACATCTGCTGTAGAGAACTGCAGCAGACAGAAGGATGTCAAGCCTAGCTAGCATGAAGGCTCTGCACATCTGAGGAGCTCTGAGATGGGGAAAATGTCCAGTCAAAGTCCCATAATCAGGGATGATACCTAAGTCCAAAGGAGAGCAAGTTCTATTTGCTACTGCATACAAGGGCTGTCTATCAATATCCTGTAACCTCTGGTGCAGCAAGCAAAAGTCTTGATGTTTCCCAAGATATAGATCGAATCAAGTGGGACTCAGATCGATTTGACTTTCCTTAAAATTAAATATGACCAGTTGCTAGAGTGGATGTCCGAGAGCAAGGTATACACATAGCGGGGATGTTCTGATAAAAAATGGATGCGCTACCAGAACTTTAGGGTTGGGAACCAGGCCCTTATCTCTAAGAGACATAGACTGGTCTCCAAGCACATGGCTGCATATCTAACACAGTTTGGGAGGCCTAGGATACTATATAGGAATAGCACTTGAATCATCTCAACTCTCTGATTAAAAGCACCGATTAAAATAGGGATTCCACAGAGCAGTTGAACTACGGGTTTAGCATTGCCGATGTGGATAGCAGCAGGGACATATTGTCCCCATAGGAGTAAAAGAAGCAGACTACAGCCGACATACTGCACTTTGCCAGGTTAAGGGCATGATTTTGATGGAGAGTCCATTTGTTCTTGTATTGAAAGGTGACCCCTATGAATCTGTAGAATTTCACTTGTTCAATAGATTTGCCCTTTACATTCCAACAATGACATCTCCAGGTGTCAGAAAATAACATGATTTTTTTATTTTTTAAAGTAGAAAAAAGTAGTCTGGAATCACAATAGTCTACAAATGTAGTAAAAAGGTGCTTGAGGCCCAAATGGGTGTGGGATAGCACCATGGCATCGTCTGCGTAGAGCAGAAGAGGAATGTTGAGAGACCCAAGTTTGGGGAAATGGGGAAAGGTTTGGGAAAATTCACTAGATGCAGAAAGAGGCACAAGGGTTGGGGAAAAGGGAGACAAAATGACCACTGGTGGAGATATCTAACATCTGCAGAGCATCAGGACAGCTTTGGATGTGTCCCTCAGTACAAAAGTACCCTTTCCTCTGCAGGGCAAGATTTGGAAAAACTGGTCCTGAAAGTCTGCTGCAATAGCCAGCACTGATTGGCTAGTGCCTGTAATGTCACAAAGACATAGATGTATGCAGTTCTGGAGAAGTTTTGCAACCATTTTTAAATTGTTATATTTTTAAAAGATGAAAAATATTACAAATAAATGTAAGGAACTCTTTTAAAAAAACAGAAGGCAGAGAACATGTGCATCAAGAAGAACCAGGAGAAAAAAATAACCAGAACACATTCGACAGTATATTGTAGACATGTCATACAAACTCAGCCATGGAGATACCTAAACAGTCTACCCCTGCCTTTCACTTGTAGCAGGGCCAAACTGCTCTTCGCACCACCAGTAAAGTCTCCTCTAGATTACTCTACTGTGCAAGCTTGCACCTTTCTCCTTATAACTCCACAATGAAAAGGGCCACATACTTTCTCTTTTAAATAAAAGGTGAGAACTAGAAGATTACAGTAATACATCATTGTAATCTGAAAACACTATAGTGACCTAGCCATTTTTTTAAAAAAAAATCCCTTGGGGGGGGTGTGAGCAGCCAAGGCAAGGAGAACAGTGGGTGGGATCTGCAAAAGTACACACCTTCCTGCCCACGTTGCTTTGAAAGGGGCTTTGACTGCAACTTTTCTCCAAAAAGTCCTACCAAATCAAGTTTGGGCAACTGAACAATGCCCAACTATGAATAGAGGTTGACGTCATGTGTTTGCTCCCAACACGGTGCCACTATAAAGAAACCAAGGTGGAGTAAAACATCTCTGTGGAAAGAGCCTTTGACAGCTCTGAAAGATCTTTTGATCTGGACTGGTCTTCTGAAATATGAGCCAAACTGGAAAAGAGGTTGTGGGCAAGGCTGGTATATCGATTTATTTATTTATTACTTTCTATTTCTATCCTACCCTTCCCTGCACTTCAGGGCTCAGGGTGGGTTACAACATAATAAAATAGTCAAAATAAAACATCCAGTTATATGTGTGCACGCACACACGCACAACTTACTAGACAAATTCAGGAATATGGACTTGGATCTGTGACAGTCTGTCTTCCAAGTCATGCACCTCACTGCTGAGATTAAAGGAACTAAGTTCTTCCTCCTCCTCAGCCTCCTCCTCTTCTTCGTCCAATATCTCCAGCATTTTCTGTTCCGTCTCTTCCTTGCCTTCCATTCTGCTGTTTCAGTCCAGGCCAGCAGTTTAGCAATCCCGTGGGAAGGAGCTGTTGAAATCAAAGGCGGTTAAAAGCAAAGAGCACGATCCACCAGAAACATCTGTGTGATTCCCATTTAAATGAATGGAAGCTGCAATTCTGGAAACCAGGCAATTAAGTAACTCTGCCTTTAGAAAAGGTTTAACATGATTCCTTTCAAAAAGATTAAAAGGTGAGATGGGTCAAGCCATAGTTTTGCAAAACAACGATCAGTGAAGTCATTACAAAAACATCAAAATGTTGACATCATCATCATGATCATCATAAATCCTCTCCCAGAATTAAAAAAGAGAAACACTGGCGATACGTCTCAGAGATAAGCTCAAGAGCAGTAGAAGACATTGTTTTTACACTCTTGAACAAAGCAACATCAGAATGTCTTAACACTGTATGATTACACAGCTGTTGGTATCATCCTTCAGTTTCATGTTCTGAGTCCTGTTGCATTGTTCAGTGCACATCTTACACTGTGGTGGTGGAAAGTGCCATCAAGTTACAGCTAAGTAAAGTTTTAAAATGTATTAAAATACAGTGAAAGGATTTTATTGCCTATGGAGTTCCCAATAAGAACAGCCAGCTCTTTGGCGTGGTCCCATTTTACTTCTGGAGGTGAGGGGTGAGGAGATGACAGTGCCCCGGAAACTGTGCAAAGTTCATTCTTCTTCCACTGCCCCATCCCACCTTGTCCCCAAACCACTGACATGAAGGCACTTTGTTGGCCAGAGTGCTATAATTATTCTACAGCAACAGTTTCCTGTTAGGTTGGCAGGGCTGTACAGAAGGATCCAGTCGCAGATGACTGCTATAGTGAAAAATAATAGCACAATATCATCCAGAGATGTGTGGATGCAGCCTAATTTTGCTGCCACAGGCGTGTGAAGATGATTCTCCATTTTGATCTCATTGCTGCTGCCAAGACAAAGGCATCGACTGTGGCAACGGGGCCTCCTCATGATGCAATTTCCCCGCTCTTTCCTTCCCTTCCCATCTGCCATTCCTCCCTCCACCTCTGGTGGGCTTTTTGGTGCTGTTCTTTTTTTTTTAATCAGCACTTTGTATATCACCATATCATTAAAACGTTATAGCGATATTCCTCCTATTGGATTTTTTTAAAAAACAGCCAAAAGCATGCCAGCAAGCGGGGTGTGTGTGTGTGTGTGTGCAATGCAGGAGGGGAAATGGTGCCCCAGCATCGAAATCCATACCTTCCCAGCCACATTTTCTCCAAACCTGCTCTGGATATACTTTTTAAGAGGAAATTTTGGGAAACTGCAGAGCAGAGTCAGGGAAACCCTGGAAGAGGGATGAAAATGAAGATGTCCACTGCTGCAGTCTGGCATGGGGAATGCAGAAGAAAACCTCTGTGTGGAAGCCAAAAAAGAAGCGTTTTCGAGAGGAACAGCCTGCTGCTTCTTCCCAGGAGCACATTTCTGTTGATTAAAGGTGCGATTGTGGATCACACTACAGATTCCCCTTGTCAGCCAGTACCATTTCAGCGGGAGGATCCCTTGGGCAGTTGCCCAGGGCCCACAGTTCTTGGGGGGGGCACTGTTGCCCACCGCTGGACAGTGGGAAGGATACAGGCAGGGCCAGCATCGCCATATCCTGAGGTGGGGCAGCTGCCGAGGCCTAGGATTTCTGGCAGGGCCCACGGGTGCTGATACCCATTGCCCATTCACTTGCTAGCACACCACTGCCTATGCTTCCTGCTATAACACACACACACACCCAAAAAAGTGGAGCCATCCCTTAATATGGGCCACCTTTCTATCTTAGGGTGTCCCCTCCCAGCAGCCAACAATGACAGAAGAAAAGAGTTTGGTGGGAAAGCCTTATTTTCAACTAGGCTCTTGGGAAGTAGCTCTTTCTCCCCATCTGCCCTCTAGGGCAACTGGCAGCTAAAGGAAGAAACAGCCACAACCCTCTCTGCCACCCAGAAGGGGAGCAGCTGCCCGTGGGGGGGGGGAGGTACATCAGGCTCCGGGCTGCCCTGCAGATGGCAGAAGGGATGGACTGAGCAGGTCCAGTGAGTGGATCGATTCTCCTGATTAGGAAATACTTCCATGTCCTGAATTAGAACTACGGTGGAAAGTGTGGTTTTTGTGCCTTCGAGGCATGAAGGCAGAACCCCTCTCCATATCTTTGTGGCCTTCTCCATCACCCTCCCACCACTATGTTGTTGTTAGAGAAGAGATTCTCAAAATTTCAATGAACAACAGTCAAAAGCAATGAGCCAGCGATTTTATTTCTGGTCAGCCTCCCCACCAGCGAGTTTGTTTTTGCATTCAGCCAAGATAACCACTGACAACAGAGCCTCAAAGTTTCCCTTTATCAGAGATTGTTTGGGAGGAAAGAATGAAAATTATGCAGGAAGGTTAAGTCAGTGAAATGTGCTTGCCTCTTTTTTCCAATTTAGCCCTGCCAGGAAAGTATCACTATTTAGCTTTCCCTGTGCTAGATTCCGGGTAACTTCTAAGCAGGACCGGCAATAAGGGGCTTCTACACTCACACACCCACAGGGATATACTTAAGTCTGAGCCATGCCATTACTGGTCACCTGTTTTCTTGTTACTAGGGTTGCCAGCTCCAGGTTAGAAAATGCCTGGATATTTTGGAGGTGAAACCTGAGAAGAGCAGGGTTTGGGCAAGGGAGGGACCTCAAGTGGGTATAATGCCACAGAGCCCATCTTCCAAAGCAGCCGTTTTCTCCAGGTGAACTGTAATCCCAGGAAATCTCCAACCATCACCTGGAGGTTGGCAACCCAACAGCTGTTACACATTTTATATCTGTATATGTATCAGAAGGGTGATGCAGTTACCAATCAAAGAGGCAAGATAGACCAGCATGGAACTGTTATGGGTGCAGGGAGGATTAACTCTTTGGAAATTCATGTTCAGATTCTTCCCCTCTGGTAGCAGATCAAATTCCCCATCTCCCCCTGCCTCCCTCCCTTTAAACAACTCTCTGGATACACTCAGTCCCCATTCCGGTGAGGTTGGGGGCCAGTATTCTCTGCTTATGAGTTAACTTGCCATTCTAGGGCCCCGGTCACACAGGCCGGATATCGCAAGGGGGAGGCGTGGCTAATTGCCCCGGCGCAGTTTGATCCGCGATTACGCGATCAGATGTTCCGGCGGCACACCACGGGTCCTTCCCTCTGTGCCGGCAGGTAAACGAGAGACCAGAGGGGAATGCCGCGCGCCGGTGCAATTACACCACAGGCGTCTGGAGGCAGCCCGTGGCAAACGTTTACTAGTACCTTGGAGGTACTAGTTTTTTAAGGCGCATTGTCGGCAGTAAGCCACGGGTGCGCTCCACTTCCCAGATGTTGGGGTGTGATTGCGCCCAGATAATCCGCCCACCATCTGTGCCTCTCCCGCAGCAACTTTGCCGTGTGACCCGCGGCCTTGGTTTACATATCTGCAAAGTCCCCACACAGGGTTGCCAAGTGCAGCTGGCATGCTGGCTCCTTGCAAACGCACACTCCCCCCCAGGGCTGCCAAGCTCAAAGTGGCCCTGGAGATCTCCCAGAATTACAACTGATCACCAGACAGCAGAGATGAGTTCCCGGGAGAAAATGGCTGCGCTGGAGGGGGGACTCTATGGTATTATACCCCGCTGAAGTCCCACCCCTCCCCAAACCCCACCTTCCCCAGAAACAGGAGACTGGTGGGTAGTTAATTGTGGAATGCTGAAAATTAACTGCCCATCAATCTCTCATTCTGACATATTTATTTCCTTCACTGTTTCCCCTCAAAATTTAACCCAAACAAATGGCAACTGTATAAACTAAGCTTGTTATTCCTAGAACCTGTTAAACATCTTCATTATGCTGTATGCTAACTCACTGCTCACCCTCTACCTATATGTATGGACTGGCAGTTTCCATTTCATTGCATCTGAAGAAGTGGTCTTAAAGGTGCCACCAGACTCAGACTTTATTCTGTTTCAGACCAACACCGCTGCCCACCTGAATCTATCCTGCTGTTTTCATGTTTAGCTTGGCTGGCCCGTCACTGCACACCACCAGCTGGCCATTGAGAAAATAACTGCAGGGGTACATTCAGCATCTGAAGTGGGGAGGGTGTACATCGGACATGCAGGGGTACATCGAGTTACCCCCTTCCCTTTGTGGGAGCGGCGCTATCAACAATAGCTTCCATCGATCAGCATCTCCTTTTCAGTGCACACGTGTCTCCCCATCCCACCCGCCAGCCTGCCCTTCCCCACTCGCTCACCTTCCCTGCCTTTTCTCTCTCTATTCTCCAGAGCCTGTTGATCTCCATCTCCATGACAACCATCTTCTACAGGCTGAGGCTTCTGGGAGTTGTAGTTTGCTTGTTCATCTCCTGCTACAGGCAAGAAATTCCGAGCTGTTCTTCCTCCACCAGTGCCACGATGGTCGCAAATAGAGAAGCGTGCCTTAAACATTTTCGGTAATCCCAATGGCATAATTTGGTTTATAGCAGGAATCGTGTCTAAAGCCTGGGGTTATCGCTATCCCCCTAATATTTAAATGCTCCTAGATTAAAGCCTCAGGGATATAGCTGGCTCAATGCCCAGACAGAAAATCCTACAGGGGCCTCTGCAAAGGAAGATAAATGGCACATTTATTTGTCCCTTTCGTTTATTAAAATATTTATACCTTGTCTTTGCCCATGATTCAAGGCAGTCAACAAATCCTAATTTTAAATAATTTTGGTAAGAAATCCTCACTGCATTCAGCTCAATCGACACGTATTAAACACTAATTAGTGCAACATGTATTTTCTTCAGAATATAATGTATTTTTAAAACTGACTCATCCAGTCCAACACTCTGTCACACAGTGGCCAAAAATACCTGGTGCCATCAGGAGGTCCAGCAGTGGGGCCAGGACACTAGAAGCTCTCCAACTGTTGCCCCCCCCCAAAGGACCAAGAATACAGTGCATCATTTGCCCCAGACTGAGAGTTCCTA